TTATGTGCAATAAAGAGTTACTGGAAAAAATAAACTTTAACTCATAAATCATACTACAATGACTAATCAATTTTGGTGCATTTGGCACTTTTCGTAATTTATTTTTGCTAATTAAGGAATTTTAGAAGGAGAGAATATAGATAATGGAATACAATAAGAATGAAAATTACATGAGGGAATCAGAAAAGTCACAAGGAATGGCAATAATAACATTTCCAACCAATATTGAAAGTACAGGAATTTGAAGCACTTCAAAACATCGATGCAAAAAACGCCAACGTCCACCTTGACTGAAAATCGATAGCATCTTTTGTTTATGTTCAAGTTGGAGATGGAAACAGAAATAGAACAGTGTATCATTTAGCGCTTAGTCAATGAAGCGAACAGTAATTTTATGATTACTCACAAGAATAATTGCAAATGATTTTTGAAATAGTTTAGATTTCTGAAATTATTCAAGATATGATGTTGCAGTTATCATGCAATTATGTAAGAAAAGCATTTGACCTTTCAATTGGCCTTCATTCATCTTACCTCTTTCATTCTCGAGAAAAAGAAAGAAATGAAATGGAAAAAGAAATTCGTTATCAGTACCAACCGGAATACTGAATTTCGAAAGTGAAGTGAACTTCGAGGAGATAGACAGTAATTAATCGAATCTTTTTAGTGATGTCGAAATAGTTGAGTAATTCAAAAAATGTGAAATTAGAATGACGACGCCAATTATTATTTATATGTAAATGTTAAAGAGGAAGAGATGAGGAATTCATTATGGGTCAAGGAAATCAGAGGTATAAGGTAAGAAGTGCTTTGGTTCAGAATCTTTTTACTCAACAAAATAATAAGCACAGGAAGTCGAGGTTATAATGAACAATTAGTTGGGCAATTTAACATAAAATTTATAAACAATTAACTCATGAGTATTTTGTATATAGATTCCACACACTTTGTATATGGATATCGAACTTTAACTCTAAGGAATTTACTGCTTATTCGCTCTCCTCTTTTGATCTAAATCAATTCTAGGACAATCCATGCAATCCTAAACTTCGTGAAAAGCAATTTGGCTTGCAATCAGAGACTCTTTGTTTACTGAAGCTGTCCTAGGCCGATACTTATTAGAAGTATATATCTTTCTCAATTTCATTGAACTCTGAACTTCGAACCATCCCTTAACTTTTCGCTTGAAAAAAACCTTTTTTTGATGAATCCAACTGTGTCATGTGTGAAATCATTTGTATTATATGATGATCTTCTGTGAAGGACATTGTAGAAAATCGAGTTTCTTTATTTTTTATTTTCCTCAATTTATGGATTTCTGAGAACTACTCGTAATATAGTGCTATTGCAAGAATGTTCCGTTTTCTGAATGCCTGTGTATAATAAATGCACTAAACATGAAAAAAATGGCACATTCTGACATTAAATTCATTGCTCACTAAGCTAAAATCACAACGCAAGTAATTAATCTGTGTTAAACTTACTTCCTTACTCATTAGTAAGACAGACTTGTACAGGAACTCTAATAATTTTCTTGCAATTTCTTATTATTCACCACAGAATACTTTCAATTCAAAGTGAATTAAAAGAGCTAACGCCTAGATATAAATATATTAGCAAAATTTGCAAAAATTAATCATTTAAAGTGTCTAAAAAAAGTACTCTATGAGTGTCAACCACTTGTTATTCTTTGCCATCTCGAGAAGTAAAGAGCTACTTATATAATGCTACACAAAAGTGGTGATCAATTGAAAATACATCTCTGGTGGGTGATATAGTTGACGAAGATGAAAATGTTTCTGATCTGCATGGTCTGTAATCAAAAAATTATAGTGGAGTAAATTACTAGGCGTGATCTGAATAAGCGGACGTAAAAAGCAATACAAAAATTGCTTGGAAGAAAGAGGGAGGACAAAGCTTTTCTGTATCCATTAAAATTAAACCTGCGAAATAATTTACTGATAAGTTAACAGTATAACTCAAGAAAATTTTAAGTTGAGGGAACAGAGAGAAAAATAATCGACTGATTTAGATAAACACTCAACAAATTTCTCGAATAAGCGAACATAAATCCATGTGAATTCTGGTGCTACATCAAAATAAACAACAGAAAGGAGAAAAAAGAAAAGAAATTAACTAGTTGAGCTCTGAATTTCAGTGACAGAAAATACCTGTGATTCATTAAGGCGATGCTTCTTGCGCTTTACTGCAGTTACTATATGATGTAGAATTATACTTACTTTTAAAATGTTTGCTATTTGTTGACAAAGATTTCATTCTAAACATTTGAAAATAATGAAGTAATCCTGTAGATTACATAAACTGGCAGACTCGTACTGATTCAAAAATTGTAAAAAATGTAAGAAAAAAGTTATTTAAAAATTAAGCTGATAAAAGTACAAGCTTTTACCAATAAAATTGTTCCTTTCCTTTGGTAAATAATACAGTTTTAAAATTTCCAAAACTTGTGATATCGCATACTGAATAGCAAAACTTCTGAAAGTGGAATAAATTTTGATCTCGAAATTTAATTCCAACATTCTTCATGGAGCGTCACAAATAACAAAAGGGAGTAAAACGATTATCAGTAGACAACCAGAAGCAAACTGATTTCTCATGCTCCCCATATTATGCTCTCTCGTGTGGGAAAATACCTTGACAGAAATAATTTATTTTATTTTGAAAATATTTTCCTATCATATAAATAGAAGAAAGAAATTCCTAAAGAAGGAGTCGAGTCAAATGGTTTTGTTTCAAACATATTTTGACTCAGTCCAGTTAATCTTTGTTTTAAGGAGAGATAGAATGTCAGGACACTAGCAAATAAAACTTACAACAATTCATTTTGTTATTGAAGCTAAAACAATTCATTTTATCATTTCGAATTCCGAATACAGGTGCGGATATGCTTGTCTTATTGGGGAAGCCGAATAGAATAAGCAAAATCACTTTTTCAACCAAATTCCAATTTTCTGTCACTTCGCCTCTGAGTATTCGCTTTCATTAAATTTTTCATCATTAATTATTAATTTGTAAGTTAAAGTAATCCATCAAGTTCTCTTTATAATTCTCTACAATGAAAAATTTAGAAAAAACTTCTTTTATAAAGAAAACGATCAAAATTCGGAAAGTGAAAACACAAAGCAAGATAAAGCAAAGAAAGAAATAGAGAAAAAAGAAATTCAATGTTTTCAGGAACTTATGATTTCATAACCTCATAATTTCAAATGTTTGAATTTGATTTTTACTGTCTAAAAACAAAGATTGGAGGAAATAAGAAATGACAATAAGCGTTGTTTTCTAAAAATATAACTCCATTTAATTTGAGAGCTATCACACTGAGATAAGACTTACTTTTAAAATCTCATTAAATTTCAAAAAATTGGAGAAGTAACAAAAAGTTATGGAAATGAAAGTAAAAATTCGACGTTGAGTGTATTATTTAAGAGCATAATTACAATAACACTTATATTTAAATATAAATTAAATATGCATATCCTTTACATCTCCGCACAAGTGTATTTATAAAATTGCAAACAGTTTTTAATGTTATCTATTCTTGCTCGTCCTACCTGACCAAATGTTTTCAGTTATTTATGAGTTCAAAACATATAAAATTTTTTAGAGGTAGTTTACCACTTAGCCAAATTGATGCTAATTTTTCTTGATCATTAAAATTTTATTTCTCTGTAAGCAAAGGATCGTACATTAATCCAATGATAACTGAGTTTCAAGTTCTACGGAAATAATGAAATGAAATGTAAACTTTATTTAAAATAAAGAACATAATTTGCTCTATCTGAGGCATTTATAGAAAGTCAAAAAACTGATGAAAAGCAAATAAAATACAATAATTTATTGATTACTGTAATCAAAACCGATCAATATTTTCCACTATTAGAAAATCTTATACAGTCATCACTTTAATATAGATACGATTGTGAAATTTAGTTTAAAATTTCGAATAGCAAAAAGATCAGATTTTCATAAACTGTTGAGAAAAGTTTCTGCAAAGATAGTGAAAGTAGCAGAAGAGAAATGAAATGGAAAGAGCCTCCTCGTTGGTTTAAATAAATGTTAGGGCACTGATAATTTGTTAGGCTTTAATGCTTATCGCCGCTCCACAACTGCGATAAATATGCTAACTGTCGATAACAGTTTTTATATTTGGCACAGCAGACTTCCACACAGACATATGTATAGAACAATAGACGAAGATTCAGTCAGTTTCATTTTATCAAAGATGTCAAACTCGAAGAGCCTAGATCTTAGGTGAATAGTTGCATCTATCGGTGATAGAAGGCCTAACAGTGAATAATGAAAAAAACTGTAATATCGTTCTCCTCCATAACTACTGAAATCATAGGGAATTCATTTCTTCATTGGCTATCCTCTTTAACAAGAGTCATTAGCACATGGTAATTTTATCGAGGTAAATACCTTACCGACTAAAACCGGTACTGAAGACTTGTCTATTCCGATAAAATTATATACGATATAATGAATAAGAGAACATGCTAGATAGTCGAATTATTTCATATAAATCAACAATAATTAATAAGTTTATTGCAAAACATTGCATATTTGTAATCATAAATTGCGGTCTTACAATAATATAAAAGACACTGATAAAGAATGTTTCAGGAATTGTTACCTTTGAAGATTTCCAGGAGAAAGGAAGGAATTGAGTCCATCAAAACACGGTGAAATAGTGTAATTCAGTTTTAATGTAGTAGTAAAATACTTTCAAAATGGGAATTTAAAAATTCATGCTATGCGGAAGGTAGCAATATTAATTTTCAAAAAGGAAAAAATTCCTCTCATTTATCTTGGAAAAATTGCCCAATGTTTATATACCGGAAAAGACGCCGAAAGTAAACAATAATAAAAACTAAGAAATGAGCAAATAAAATTTACTATAACATCAATAAGCTTATAAAATTTTTAGTGCAATGCATATTCATTCAGAAAGCTTATAAGGTTTTCAGTTCAAAGTTTATTCATTCCAGTGAACTTTTAGTAGTGGTTACTTTATAATTTAGTTGTTCCTTTATAATTCCATAATCATAAACACCTAAAATAAAATAAATGGATCAAATTTAAAAAAAAAATTAACTTTGATTTCTAATTAAAAATGAAAAGACAATCTAAAAAAGTTCCTTAAACACCACAACTTACCTTTTATGGAATTTTCGAGATTCTTTCCATTATCAAATGATGGATCAATTTCTGCATAGAAATCATCAAACTTGGCATAGTCGTCTAAATAAAAGTTGCAAGGTAAATATACTTTTATAGAACTTAAAATAAATAAGGAAGAAAAAACAAAAGTAAAAAGTTATGTTACCTAATAGCAAGACTAATCAATGAGCGCAGAAACTACGCCAATTTCATTCCAACTAGTATTTTCAGTCACTGAAACAAATTCAAATCCAAATATTATACTTTGAAGCCGATCAGATTGCTCCTTGTTCGCCAGATGTTCAAATTTGTTATTCTTTCCTGCAAGCTGATCGTTCGTTGCTATTCTTGCACTCTTTCTATAAAGCGGATTGTTGAATCCATTCTTCGTTGAGATTGGTTCACTATTTGTCACCGTCGGATGATAACTAAAATTATAATTGCTTCGTTATCTTCTTTTTAATGACTTGCGGTTATTCAGTAATACCAAATAGCTTTAGCAAATTCGGTTAGGTAAAGTGATTTATTCAGGAGTTGACTTCCAGTAAACAGAGTGAATACCCTTGAAAATCTAGTGTCAATACACTTATTCTATGCTAACTCATTTTTTAAGTTAACACTAGATAATGTAGAATTGAAAAGAAGGAAAGGAAAGGTTAATGTGACAGGATTGTAATAGGAAAATTATTGAATTTGGAATATGATAAAAATATTCCGGTATAGATGCAAATGTTTTCATTTTTTGACAAACAGAAGGATAATCGTAAACTCACGTGATAATAGGAATAGTAGGACCACGTTCCTTTACATATTTTCGTCGATAGTAAAAAACAAGAATTAGGAGAATAATCATTATCACATATAGGCCACTAACAATTGAGCTCATAATTACCACTGTAGTGCGCTCTTTCGGTAGATGCTTCAGCTCTTAATTTTTATTAAGAAATATAAATATTAAGTGAAACTGAAATAATATATCTTAGCTTACAGTAACGGCATTTGAAAGTTTTTATACAGTAATATAAATTTTAAATAGATAAACAAAAAAGGTAAAGACTATGATGAAGTAAATTTTTCACTTGAGATTCAATTCCAAATATTACAAGTAGCATTGGGCACCTTATCATAACATTCGTTAAGAGAAATTTGCTTTACCACTGTTTTAGCTTGAAGAGTAAACATTCTAGAAAGGATTACGTTTAGTTACATTAATTTCCTAAATTTTTTGCTCCGTCTTTTCATGCCTCCTCGCATGATCCTTTCAACGAATAGAAAAAAACTTCATACTGGTAGGATCACAGGAAAGATCGTTCTTCTTGCAACAACCGATCACCGGGTTGCAAATATCTTCACCACAGTCGCAAACATGCGCACACTGTTCTCCCCAAAAACCTTCAGGACAGACTGCAAAAGATAATTATTAAATAACTTTTTTTTTCACATTTTAAAGAGATCTATTAAAGAAATGTACTTAAAATTGGTATTTGGCTTGAAAAACATATTTACATATCATAAAGAAATATCTGATCAAATCAAAAAAAGGTTATCAAAACTTACTTTGATCACATTTCGGCCCAGTGAATCCTGGATGACAGACACAATCACCCGTTGTTGCTTGGCATCTCGAGTTTTCCATTTCACAAGAACATCGGAAAACGCAATCTGGACCCCACGAACCTTCAGGACAATACTGATTACACAGATCGCCCATAAGACCTACAGAAATGCTGTTTAGTAAGAAATAAACAGATGAAAAATCCTAATAATTCCAGTATTTCTATCAATAACTTAAAAGCTACCGGCAGCACAATGACAAATACCATTGACTGGATTGCATAACTTGCGATCACTTGCACATCTGCATTCATTTAGGCAATCTGCACCCCATTGATCCATCCCACAGGCTATAAAACATGATTAATGTGACTTAAAACAATAACCAAAGATGTCTCCGACAATCATGCAATATATAAGTAGAGTTACTAACCGAATTTTACAATAATGCAAGTTCAGCATTACATGATTATTTCCGTCAGTAATGCAATAAAAAGATTAGAAATATATCAAGCAATCCAGGAATGCCATTTCAATTTTCGGATTGTTAGATCAAGCACGAGAATCACTCATTAATTTAAAAGTTTGTTTTCTTAAAAGTAGGCATACACTAACTTAATTCACACTTTTCTCCCATGAAGCCAGGTGCACAATGACATTCACCGTCTATCGGATCACATTCACCCTTATTCTTGCATTTGTTGCATGTTTGAGAACAATTCATGCCCCACTTACCGGTCGGACATTCTGAAATAAGCTTTTCAGGTTAATTCTGGTCAAGTCTGAAATCTATAAGATGCATAGAGCGAAAAAAGGAAGTGATAGCAGTTTAGGAGCATAAACTATATACTCAGAGAGTTCCTTTCTCGATTTACAAAATTCTGTATGTTTCACTATTGACCCCTAATACAACATTAGCTGAAAGAAAGTAGTTCTTTTGCACCTGCAATATAAAAGACGGAAGTAATCCCAAATACCTAGATCACATCTCGCACCCGTGAAACCGTGGTAACACTGGCAGCTACCATCGATGCTGTCGCACTCCGCACTTTCCGCACAATTACAATGATTCATGCACTTGTCACCCCACGTTTTAAATGGACAACTTTGCTCACAGAGTACACCACTTCGTCCGGGTGGACACTGTAAACACTCGCCAGTAAATGGATTACATCCATGTTTACAGGCGCACCTCTGCGCACATTTCTCTCCGTAGTAACCAAAAGGACATTCTAAAAAGTATGAGCGAATTAATGATTCAAAATAAAAAAATGACAGAGTTGTTCAGAATTTCAAAGCGATAAACCAAATGGAATTCCAAATTGGCATGCTGGTTAGTAGAGATCAAAGTGATTGGAATGATCTAAACAGGAACATTTTACTTGCTACTTATCACAACAATTGAAAAACAAGATTGTCAAATAAATCAAGTAAAATTTCTTGCAGATCACCACATCCAGACCAATAACTGTTGTACTTATTTTCTTAGTGTAACTAGTCCTCACTGAAACTTTCCTCGGCAATTCATTCAAAGACTGTTTCCAAGAAAAGAAAAAAAAAAAAGAAACAATGTTTAAAACAGAAATTAAAATGAAAGCTCTGAATTAAAAATAAAAAATTGAAATAAAATTTCTGTCCTAAAAAAGCAGTCAGAAAAGGTAAATATTAAAATTTTTGCTCAATATTGGACAGTGAAAGGAAGCCCTCACTTCTGTCACATAAACGGCCAGCATAACCTGGACGACAATCACACTTCCCGGAATCACCCATACAAATTCCATGAACACATGGACATGAATCCAAGCAATTCTCTTTTTCTTCCAAAGGACATAACACTGAGCAATCCGGTCCTGAAAACGATATAATTATTCAAAACCATTTACGAATTAAACTTTAATTTATTTGATATCCTCACATTCTATCACTTCTCAATTTTTTCAAAATTTAAGGATTAAAAACCAACCCGCCCATCCATCTGCGCAACTGCATTCGCCATTTATTGGATCGCATGTGGCGCCATTCCAACATCGGCATTCTTGCGAGCAGTTAATACCATAAAAATCCTAAAAGTTTAATGTACTTGCAGATTCAAAAATGAATTAAACGCTGACTCAAATTGCTCTAAAATGATCTGTTGGTAAAGATAATTTAAAATGACTGAACTGAATCATCTGATACCCTATCGATACTAGCAATATGCATTAATACTAATAATCAATAGTTATTATTCCTTTCATGCATTCAGTGAATAATTAATGAAAAATTAAACTCTAACTTTGCTGCACGGCACATCACAACTTTTTCCGGTCCATCCAGCCGGACAAATGCATGCACCAGTTAACGGATTGCAACCGGCACCATTTTTGCAACTGCATACCCGACATTCTGTATTACCATGACCACCCCAACAAGGCAGATTACACTGTGGTCCTCGCCAACCTGAAATTACTTTACCTTTTATCATAACATTATATTTTTATCAGACAAGTCTAGGTTAAAACCCAATCAATAACACAAACTAGTAGTAGAGGAACTCTGTGTATGTAACATACCAGCGGTGCACTTACAGGTACCAAAACGATGATCGCATGATGCACCATTTTTGCAATTGCATTTCGATTTACAGTCCATACCAAATAAACCTTCAGGACATTTTTCATCACAACTGAAAACATAGGGATTTCTACAAAATGAGCTTGTGCATCTATAATGCCAAAATGATAACTCAATATTTGTAAAAATAATTCAATCAAAACATTTCAATGGCTAAAAAACATGGAAATTTAAAGTTTTGTGATATCGAAATGGACTTGCATGCTTTACCGAATTCCTTGATATCCAGCAGCGCAAATGCATTTTCCAGTTACCGGATTACATTGGGAACCGGTATTTAGGTTACACTCGCATTTTTTCTTGCAATTTTCACCATAATACGATGTCGGACATGGAGAATTACAGCCTGCTCCCGTATAACCAGCACGACAATTGCAGGAACCAATAATTGGATGGCATCTTAAATTAAAATTGAAGTGAAAATATATGAACGGGTAAATAAAATTATAATAAACTCCAGAAAATAAAAGAAAATAAAAATCAGTAGAGAAAAAGAAAGAAGCGAAAAATTGCGCTGATAAACTTAATCTTACAGTTTCGTATTGTTTGGGTTGCATGCACATTCATTTTCACAGTTTGGTCCAAAACGATCAAATGGACAAACTGTAATTTCAAAAAGCAATTGTGCTAGAAGTGGAAATATTGACAAATTAAGAAGGTTTGATTAGTACAAAAAGAAAAATTAGCAGGAAAACAATTAATTTCTCAGGAACTAACCAAAAGAAATGTGGATTAAAATAAATGGAAGTGACTTAAATTTAAAAATAAGGAAAGGTAACACTTTTGAACAATACTTTTGTGATCGCAGCGTTCTCCATGAAATCCTTCTAGACAAATGCATTTCCCACTAATCGGATGGCAACGGGCTTCGTTTACACACTTGCATTTTTGCGCACAATGAAATGAGAATAATTGATGTATGTTAATTAGAAATATGTTAATTAATTGGGAACAGTAATTCAGAGAAATTAATTTAGTATCAAATTATTTTACTATTCGTAACAATTTTCCAGATGAGCGCTAATGGAAATAATTTGAGTTAAATAGTTTTCAGAAGTATCAACTTACGATGACTATTAATTCTGTTCCGTTTGAGAAACATATAACAAAAGAGAAGAAAAGAAAGGGTTGAAAGTTGACGAATCAGATCAACTGACACTGTGTTTACACTATGGAAATAGTAGCAGCTTTAGTTATTCTAGTGAATGATACTTTTTTTCCAAATGTGCCTTCCGGACATGGCTCTTCGCAGTGTTTTCCAGTAAAACCAACACAATGACAATTCCCAGTTACAGGATCACATTCATTTCCATTGTAACAGAAACAGTTTGATGCACAGTCAATACCATAATAACCTTTTTTACATTTGTTTTCACAAAATCGACCCTAAATTCAAAAAGTAATTTTATTTTTTGCATAAATTGAACTATTGACTTAAGTTTTAGCCCAGAATTTCCTGAAAACTAAAATGAAGTTAGATAAAAAACAAGTTAAATTTGATATTAGAACACTTCAATTCTATTTAATCTTTGCAATTACACTGCTATTTCTGAGCCTTTCAAATCAGTAAAATTTACAACAAATAATCACCGAAAATCCTGCAGTGCACATGCAACTGCCATCTTTTTTGTTGCAATATGCGCCATTTTGGCATTTACAGTCATGTATACAGTCAGGTCCATGCTTTCCCTTAATTAAATAGGCTTTATAAAATGTGTGATATCTCATTAAATAGACTGATTTTAAGAAATCATGCAAATTTTATTAAAAATTTGAAATCATTAAGCAGTTCCATATAAATTGAATTAAGTTTCATGAAATTAAACTTTATGAATCATTCATTTGGTCTTTTCATTTTATTAAACTCCAAACTTCTGCATTCATATCATTAAAAAGTTTTACAAAAAATAAAAAACTCTCACTTCCTCACATTCCTCAAGACACAGTGGACCAGAAAATCCAGAAGGACACTTGCATGAGCCATCAACTGAGCTGCAACTACCATTATTTTGACATAAACACAGGAATGCGCAACTTGGACCCCAACGTTTATCATTACATGGTTCCTCGCAGTGTTCACCATGAAAACCTGAAAATCTTAAATGTAAAATTTGTTGATGGCAACTGACATTAATTCAATTCATTATTGATATAATTCTAATTTTGTTAATTATTTCATTTGAAGCTTGGTAGTTGTCATAGAGGAAAAAATTAACATAACAAATACCAGAAGGGCAATGGCAGATGCCGGTAATAGGATCGCAAGAAGCTCCGCGATTACATTCACATTTCAAAGAACAGGATGGACCCCAGAATCCTGATGGGCAGGCTGCAAAGCGAATCATGGTGAGTGTGATGAAAGCAGCAATAAATATAATAAAGTTTTATATTTCAAAAAATATCGTAGATTGAAATCTCAAATTCAGAATTCCCATCTTTTTTTTATAGATGAAATTTTTTAGAATTCAAACCTATCGAGCATGTAGGACCACCAAAACCAGAATTACATGTACAATTATTTGGTGCTGTACAGATACCTTTATAGCATGGTGGATCACATATAGCTACAATAATCACTGTTACACACATAATTGAGAGACACAAAAGTATTTGATATGTGATTTCCTAAGCAATGTGATACGTAATCTAAAATAGTGATACGTGCTCTATACCAATGCGACGTCACCAGTAAGCGACTGACTCTCTTGACATAAGATTCATCAGGTAGAAGAGCAAGGCTTATCAGATTCGACTTCATCAGAAAGTGTGGATACTTCACGTAGATTAATTATGATCATCAGTACTTTACTTGATCCTCGTATTTTCCCATATTTGTTTTTCATTATTTTGTTATTGCAATATCTTTTGAGAATTCTTAAAGAGAAAAAATAATATTATTCTTTAAGGAAACTTACGAATGCACGTGTTATTGGTAGTTTTTTTATAGCCATCACAACATCGTTTTACATATTCTACTACAATTCTTGGCACATGTCGATGAGATATTTTTTCATCATACCTAATTAATTAGAACAAAAATATTTGAATGCCTATTCAGATTTAATTAGAACAGTCTTGTTAACCCAAAATATTCCTATTTGTAAATTGGAAAAAAAAATTACAACAATTGTATGATTTGTGATAGGAAAATTTTGGAATGTCATAAAAAATTAAATATAATTTGAACTGTGATTTGCACTTATCCAATCTTTAAATGTCGCTGGTTTTTGAAAATATTTTATTCTTTAGATTGAAAGAAAAGTCATGACAGAAGCCTTCAAATTTATAAAAAATTTTAAGCCAAATGTCCAACTGATCTTTAAATTTGCAACATTATATCTTTAAGGTTCAAGTCCATGTTGTCTCATAATTTAGAAAAACTTAAAATAATTGTCTTCATTTTTTCATTATTCTTAAAATTCGATGTTTTGGTAAATTTATGAGAAATTAAAAGAAGTATCCGAATTGAACTATTTATTTAGTAAATTTAAGTAATCCACAGATAATATTTACCTAATATCATTACAATTGAAACCTTTGTTAGTATCACCACACCAAACTTTCGTCCTGTGTGGTATCTTGTGAACATATTCCTCCAATTGAAGTAATTCTTTTCTAGAATTGTTTTCACAATCATTTTTTTCTCTTTCAGGAAAATCACGTGCATTAAGTAAGCGGAAAATATTCCTAATCCAAAAAATATATCTATCTGCATGTAAATTGAAAGAAAAATTTTCAATAATTCAATGTTTTATGGTGTCCAAGGCACAAAAAGCAAACATATGTATTAAAGAAATGAATTTGAAGGATTTTCAACGATCACACATAAATAGATTAATAAATTGACGGAAAATTTGAGAAGTTAACTTACTCTACAGGTACTACGCATACATTATCTCCAGTTGGTTCATTACAGTGAACCAGTTTGGTGAAACTTGCTACAGCAATAGGGAATAATTTAAGTAAGTAATGCATGGCCTGATTACTGAAAACAAACAACGTGAAATATTTATAAGTTGTAGAAATTTGCAAAAATATCGAACGGATCAAGTCAAAACAATAATGAATTACAATTACTTATAGTAATGATAAGGGCTTATCTGCTTCTTAAATTAATTGTTGGTTCAACCCAATGCCGATAAAATTATTTCAATTAAATGACACATAATAAAATCCATTATCAATATCAATTTGTTTTTGTGAAACAAAGTGTATCGCTTCTATTGATCTACTTATTCATGAGTTTTAGCCTTTTAAAATATTCTGATAAAGGAATGAAAGCTAGAGCCCATAAACTTCTCGTCAATAAGAACAAAAATGCAATGAATGGGCAAATGTCACAAGTTCCTTTTCCGTCATTTAATTATGGTTCTGCTCTAATTTATGGTGCAGTCTGAACGGAGCTAGATTATCAATGTCTTCAAGAAGCATTTCCGGAAATGAATTATTCCAACAGAATGCAACAAATTCATCAGCAGAGTGATACTGAGTTACAATAGAATTGGAGTAAATAAATTGAAGGCAATTGTGAAACGGAAAGGATACAATTTTTTATTTGTTGGGCGGATCAAATTGGGACAGGCACGAATTTAATCGCTCTGTTCATTCTCGTTGTCTTTGCTACCCTTAGTTAGGTGAAAGGTTATTATTCTTAGTCAAGTGAAAATCTTTGAATAATTCTTCAGAAAATAAAAGTAAGATGTGACAAATTTCTAATGAGAAAATATTCTGATCAAAGCACGAGTTTTACTAATTTTTCTTCTGATTTATTCCACTTATCTAATAAAAATAAATGCATCCAATACATGTGCATTGTCATGCAATTTCCCACACAAAAAGTAAAATCATTTATTCGTAAAAACACCATAATATTGCGAAGAGTTATTTTCCCATTACCCTCCATTATTATTAAAATAGTGGATATAAGCGATGCGAACTATTTTAATATAAATTCAGTTAAAAGTATTAATGAATAGAGAATAATTGGAAGATAATTGATTCCTTTTACAGTAATTCTAATTTCCTTTTTAAATCACAGATACAATGAAGATGAAATTTAATTTCAGGACAGTGTACTGATTCGATGATGACACCACATAATCACATTGACTAGATGATATTCTATAATGATACTATAAATGCATCGCATAATGTTTTTTCACTGGCAACCAAGGATTTTAAAAGAAGTGAAACTATAAGACAGAAACTATTTGCCGAATTACCGGATTGTTCGCATTCAGTTCGGTGGGAAAAATTTCTCCGAGTGCTGATTCATTGTTCAATTTAACATCAATGAAATTAGCAGAAAAAAAGTATTTCAGTTGTTTTCTGCGGTTATGAGACAATAAGTGGATCTTCAATTCCGACTTCTCAGTTCCATTCAACATCAGATCTTTTCTTTCCAAATTAGCTTTGACAAATTCATTACCAGCAAATCATGAAACTGTAAAAGTAGCGTCCAATGAATAGTAGTAACGATTTTTTTCTACAGCAAACTGGTATTTCAGTTCTTTTCTGCTGTTTTTATAAGGGCTTCGAGATCTTCGTTCTTTATTTGTCAGTGAATGGAACAATGAGTCGATCTTCAATCATTATGAATAGCGCCTTTACAATGCAGTCTGCAATGTACCAAAGATTGCTGCACAATTTGCATATTGTTAATGTGGCAGGCAGTCTGTAGCATGCACAACATCTACGTACAAATCCTTTTATCTCATTTCCTTTTTGAATTGCATTTTTTTTCAGTCACTCATTATATTACAATCACTGATTATATTATCATAGCAAACTGATAGATCACAACTCAAAAATGCTTCAGTAGAATAGCAAACTCTCACTTCATCAATTTAAAAATTATTCAACAATGTGAACCAATGCGTTTTTTAGACAAAAAAGGAAATGTAAGTTGACCAAGTTCGTTAATATTAAATTTGAGATATATGACTATAGATGAATTATTTCAAAACAAAATCAATATATTTAAGAGAATTCTCCTAAATAAATTCAACCTAGTCTTATCTGGTCCTGAATAGTACTACACTCACACACTTATTTCTAAAAAACCATGAAAGTTCTTCCAACGAGTTTTATCCAAATTTTGAGAAACCGTAAATTTCCAACAGTTGTATAAACGAAAAAACGAAAAATATTCAAAGAAATAAATGATACTCATCCGAATCAACGATGGACATGAAAATTACAGATAAACACAGTTTGCTATTCCAAAAAAGCGCAACTGGATGAGCAACAGTGTGGAAAATCAGTTGAACTCCCTCTCCGGTTAGTGCTTCTCATTCCAGTTCAAATCAAAAATGACTGACTGCCTCATATTCTGCAAACTAAATAAAGCTACAATTAAACCCCTATACCAGTAATAAGGATACAGATGAAAACCACATGATTTTTAGGCTGTAGTAAGACGATTAACACTACGTCAAAATCCCTATATATTTTTTCTTCATTCCACATTTAGGAACTCATTAAAAATTTTTGAAAAAAAAAAAAAAAAACCCCAACAATTTTCTTAGAAAAAAAACAAAAATATCAAATGTTTGCAAAATGTATACTGCATTTTCCCCTATTTTAATGTATTTTTTTTAGAATTTGATAGAAATAAAGTGATTGAATGGACAAAAAAACTGATAAACCAATAACCTAAAATTTTCTCGAGATACCGGAAAAAATGCGCAACAAATCGCATGAATCAAAAAAGGAGCGAAACTGAAAGCTTTTTTGCTCAAAATTAGAGAAACACAACAAAAACTTGAAATTTTATGCAGATTTGAAATTACATGCACAGAAAATCTTTTCAGTTAAGTTGCTTCTTCAAATCTTTTCAAGCAGTTATTTCAAATAAACTTAAAGGAAGACTGAATCATGATTACCAATCAGTATATTATCTACAAAAAAAGAAAAAAAAAAAGACTTCAAAGCATGCAACACCAATAAAATTCAAAGCTAAAACATGAATGACTCACGTGGTTGCAATATTCTACGCTCAGAACATCAAACACCTTCACATTATATTCATCCAACAATCCACTTAATATCATGAATAGTTTGGTTTATCAAAAAAAAAAACACTTTTTTTTCTTGTGTTAAATGTAAATAGTAGCACGAGATGTTTCCACGGCAATTGTAAAAAAATATTCATGAATAAATTTAAATTCTTTATTCCCAATCAATTTACTTAATAGCTTCATCAGTTGTTGTTTTGAAACACTTATGATCCGTTCAACTGAATTTATTACAGCAGTACTCATTGAAGAGATATGAAGTGGAATTCCTTTTTCTGTAGTAAAAAGTAATGCTGGCTTGTTCTACATATTTTCACATTTTATTATTTTATAATGTACTACCATATTAAGCTCTCTGCTATATTATTTGTTTTCTTTTATAATTCATTAAACATAAAGTCTACTATATTTCCATGACGATTTTTAGCACCACATGTAATACTGCTGCTTTTTATAGTGTTATATCAATATAGAGTGAATTGATAATTAACATCAAAATTAACATCATCCTTTCCTACCCCTCATATATATCCGAAACTTTTTTCGTAGTTTCGATCCTATCAAAATTCAAGGATTATTTACCTCTTTTAATATTGTTGAGAGTTTTCCAAATTTCATAATATGCCTCTAACTTTAAATGCCTACTAATTATTATGCATTTTGAATCGTGCAAAGTCAATTAGCCATGAGTTAGGAAGGTTAGGAAAGGTGTAAAGATGAAAATAAAAGCTTTGACAAGTGTAGATGTGCAAAGTAAAGAAAAGGAAGTATATAGACTGATACATTTCACTATTCTATATTGGTTTAATCAACATAAACATAACACAACAGTTTCAAGTCCCGCATAATGAAATCTTCTAATTTTCAACGCAGTTTTTAACAACTCTCTAGAAATCAGTAATCAGAAAGCAAAATGACTCAGAGAGCGGCTAGTAATTTAGAGCATCATCTGATAAAATAAAAGACAAATTAAAAAGTTCAGAAATCTTGTTGAGATCGAACCGATTTGGATAGGTAATATGAAATGCCAATCACTGAAAAAAACTGATTTTGCACCCCGATAAATTATAATAGTAAACATAAAACCAACTTTTGTTTGTAGAAATAATTTACTATACTTTAGGTCAACGTCTCTATCGGATTAATGCTAAAGAGAAAAGCTATTATTGACTTTTAAAGAGAAATAAAATTTCAACTTTTTCCTATGGTCACATATTTGAAACGAACCTGAACTGTGGGTGCTTGTGCGGTACGTCGCATTGATGGAGTCCGCCGCCACAACGTAGATTCCCTACTACTACGCTGCGTGTATTCGCCATCAGCAAGAACTTGTCGTGGAACCGACGAACCATGGAATTCAATTTCGAACTAAAAAGCTATTATTGACTTGAGTGATTTACACTGAGTGATTTACTATCACCAGAAAAAAACTACTGACCTTAGTTGCACAAACGAAGCAAGCAGTAACAAGTTTAGCAATTTCATTCATCAAATTCTTCGTCTCTTGTATCACTGAATCAACCTGCACAGAAAAAGTTATTCGTCTAGGGAAGTAACTTCAATTAAATATGTCTTACCAAGTATGATCAAATAATCTCAAAAGACAATCTAAACTACTAAAATCAAAAGGCGAAAAAAAAAAAATAGACCAGATGGTTTAATCAGTGACTGTTTAATGATCCAATTATGTAACTAAATATTCAGGACCGTTAGAAAAAATGATCGAAATCTAAATACTGTTGAAAGCAAATGCACTTTTATTATTGTGATAATTGGCTAACAGTAATAACATATATAAGTTACTTTGGAAAATGTTGCTGGTTTACCAACTGTTGGACTTTTTACAAGTACTTGCAGCTGCTGACAATGTATAGGTATCTTTTCCAGAATTGTTGAAAGATCGTTTTTCTCAGCACTTCCAGGTACCTGAAGTCATGAATTATAATATGCTGAAAGGATAATACAGTACTTATTAAAAACAATATTATCGAGATTATTATTAATATTATTACTATTACCATTATTATTATTAATTACTATTTTACTACAACTTATTATTATTATTATTACTATCATTATCTATTATCATTGTTATTATTATTACGTTGATTTCCCTCCAAAAATTAATAAAACCAAAACAATACCTCATAAGAAAATTCTCGGACCGTTTTATACATTTTGTTAGCTTGTTCTGCAAAAAATTCTGCCTGTGTGAAAAGGTCATGTGTTGTTTTCAGTGGTCCGTCGCCTCGAGTGAAAAGATACATATTGTAAGCCATTGATGACATTGCTTTGGCACGCTTCACAATATCATTTTCCGCATATTCATCCCATTTTTCTGCTTCTGCATCAACTTCGGAAGTCAGGAGTTTCATCTCCAAGCCAACTTTCGCAATTTTTTGTTGATCCTGAAAGCGGTTGAAATTTAGCATTGAAATCCTGAATACCATTGGGATATTCTTCTAATGAGCTGTATTTTTTATTCTCATTAATTAAGAATAGCTAAAATGATCGAAGCTATTAGGACAATGAAACTTCTGATGGTGGCTGCTCCAATTAGTATAACTTAATAAGCTATTTTATTTCTTATTTCTAGCTTACTCGATTCCAAGTTTACCATTATAAATCGGCACTATTTAAATTCTTTTATGAAAAATATTGAATGGATTAACTGTGTTTTGCGTCATATGCGTCATATTCTATTCTCATATAGATCGATTGTTTGGAGCAACTTACTTCCACATCAAGCGTAATCGGCTTCGTTGGCTTTTGGGTCGTCCCATGTTTCTGAAAACGAATCAATCACCTGTAAAATGCGATCAATCAATGCGAGCTGGTTGAAGCAACCATTTCTCGAACAATTTTCAGCTCAACTTTAACAGCAGCATTGGTCTTTCGGTTAGGCAAGAGCTTAGCCAACATTAAGGTTTACCTATCAACCAAAATAAAAACACTTCCTGTAGTATATACCTAATCAACAACTTATGAATCACCATATATTAACGATTCTTTTTATTAGACAATATTTAGTAGGCTAGTGGTAGTTAGCTGTATGTATAGTAGCGGCCTGCCCAAAAATTGTAATAGTTTTAATTATTACAAATATGGAACGAACGCCATACAAAGGAGTGTTACTCAACTCTATAGTACCGAAGATAGTTGTCTGATTCAATTTTTTAGCTTTTCTGTTCAAACCCTAATAGATCAAACACAATACTTTTATTCCAATATTTTTGATTATATATTTTAGTCATTTTTACATGCACCACATAAATCATAGCATACAGTAATTTAAGCGCAGAAAACACGACTATGAAAGGATTTGGGGAAATAGCTAAACTACACATAGCTAAAAGTTAGAACAGATTAAACGTCACCTTTCCGGATTGAGAAGTTCCAGATCACGTTATATAAAAGTTTCAGATGCAGTAAGATCACAACTGTTGATCTCAGTTTTTGGATTCAATTTTTTTATCTCGTATTCAGTACCAGACGTTAACAATCATGTTTCGAGCATTCGAACCAATAGTAATAAGTTTTTCAAAATTTTTGAAAATAAAGAATTCGAAGTCTGATACAGCTAACAATCATACCACCAAATAATCACAAAGCTCATGCAAATCACTTCACAATACTTATCAATACCAGTATCTATCAGACCTTGATGATAAAACATTTACAGCTCTCATAAAATTCTGACGGGAGGGGAGGAGGGGGAGAGGAAAGAGAAGAGATGAAAATTTAATGATTAATGATTAAGTGATTCATAAAGGCAGCAATCTAATGATTAATGATTAAGTGACAACGAACTGTTAGATATGCGCACAAACAGATACTGCCTTTCTCCTTCTTAAAGAGGATTTATAACAGGATTAAATGTGCATACAACAATCCTTACGTGAAAGGAAAAAATTTTCAGTACTAGAATTGGATATTTAAAGGGAAAAGAACTTGTAAAATGAAATATTCCATAATCTTCATATAAATTTGAAATCTAAAATATCTAAAAAGTAAACAACTAAATAATGGCAGAAATATAAACACTTAAACAGAAATGAGAAATCTGCAGATTTAAGTTTCAAAATCCGCAGATTTTTCATTCCTATTCAAATGCTTGGTCTAATTTTAAATCTGTAAATTAAGAGAAGTTTAATGTTTTAAAATAATAAAATAGTGTAAAGTGAAATTAAAGAACAAGTGAAAGAGTAAGTGACAACCACAATAAGCACCCGATGCAAATTTGATAAAAAACATAATCATAATCACTGATATGTTAACAAAATTTGATAAACATACAATTTTCACAACGATGCACAAAAAAGGTAAAAACTCATGCAGAACCAAAAGTTTGTTGACAAGACCATCACACACCAGAAAATAAAATCCAAAAATCCTGCAGACCAAATTTCACTTTTAAAATAACTACAACTATAACTTTTTTAAAGCCACTTAATAGTACTTTATTCTATGTTCAGGAAGAGGTGGAGGTAGTGGATCACGAATATGCACCTCACTCACTTCATCCTGTAAAGCATCTAGCATGTACTGATAATTAGCACCCACGATAAAAGACTTGTTTGTGTTTGATACTGAAATACTCGACGAACAACTAGTGTTTTCAAAGAGTTGACAGAATTGTTCTGGTGGTTCTGTAGCACCCTTCAAATGTCTGATAAGCACTAAACCATCAGAGTAAAGTTGGCCTTCTAATTGTGGATGAGAGGATGTTACACATTTTGGAAAGGAAAGATTAGATGAACGGTCGGAAGATGGTGATGAAGTGGCAGACAAAAATGGTATACAGTCATTTCGATGGCTACCTATAGTCGACTGACTTACCCCTGGCCTAGGCAGCGACATATAAGCTTGTTTCTCCGCTGCTAAACGACCGCTTGCTGCTGCATCTGTTTCTTTGGCTAATCTCGACAAATCATTAACACACTGTGCCCATGTGTCACAAAAAACTTCCACATTCTCTCGTGCTATACGTGATGATGGATGTATACACAACGTGCGACCAGCCAACAATGTCTTCAAATCATAATTATTTAAACGATTGAATCCTTCGAGATATTTTGCATTTGCGAAGAAATGCATCCCAACTGAAGTATAAAATAATTCTAATTTTTAAAATAGTATTGTGGAAATAGATTAAAACGAACCAGCGGAGCAAGAGATCGTAAGTTCCGTTCTGCGTGGCCTGTAGCAACATGTAAACCATCCGTTAACGATACATGATGTAACAGTCGACACACCCAAATTAAAATTCATTATGCAAGCTTCTCAGGCAACACAATTATGTAAATCTAATTTATTTATAGAAAGAAACTAAAACAGTCTAAGACCAGTGCGTCGAGATGTTATAGCCTAACAGATACTTATGTTAAATAAATTTCGTAGCTATGATCATTTTAGAGCGACGATTTAATAATCAGAATAAGTGACTTCCTAGTCAAAAGACAAATGAGATAAACATGAAAGTTACTTCCTGTATATGTTCTGAATGCTCTCGAAATTCTTCAAAAAATTTTTCAACACCATCAATATCACCCGACACAGAACATGCTTTTATGGATGACAAAATTACTTGGTCTTCATTGGTACGTAATACTTCCGACATCTAAAAAACAATAAAGGAAATAATATATATAATATTATGTATGACAATAAAATTAATGAAAATTTGAACTAAAAATACTTGCTTGTTCCATTGCCACAATTTGCAGCTGTTTCTTCAGGTCCTTCAGTCTTCGAGTAAGCCTCTCAACACTTACTTCGATACTTTCATTCCTTAGAGGTTCATCAGCAACCTAATTTGATCATATTAAAATAATGCTTAAAGCACTTAAAAACATTTAGGAAAATGATAAATACTGAAGTACTAAAAAAGACTAGAAAACAACATAAGACCGTATGTAACCATATTTTCTTTATTCGCATGAAGCCAATTCATATAACATAATTGGTTAAAATGTTAATGGTATATACGGTATATACGATTATCTGCCAAAAAATTTGAGATTGAGATCCTTAAACGAACTATTTGACAAACCATTTGACAATGAAAATAACTTACATCAGGCTGTATAAGATTTGTCAATTCAAAACGACATTCTTCCAAGAAATCCAAAATCTGCTCCCGATGATGATGCGGTGTATAGGCTGAGTCGGTAAAATCCTGAGTCATTTCACATAAAGAATCCAGAGCGCTTATTAATCGTTCCCTTGTACCAGTTCCAATATTACATGTCATTCTTACCATTTCCAACATTTCCTAAAAAGAAGAACAGAAAACTTTTATCACCTTCAAAATATGATGACTGAAATCAAAGCGTTTGTGAATAAAATATTAACATTTACAAAGAAAATCATTAACTTCGGAAATATATAATCGACTGTTATAGCTAAAAAACAGTAAATACCATTAACCGCCTAATAGCTGCATTGGCAGTTAGTTGCATTCCAATATCTAAAACTTCTTCACTAGAGGGTGATGTAAAATGTGATGCATCAAAGTGCAATACACCATCAGAAACGCAAAGTGCGATCAACTGAAGGGCCAAACGCATCTGAAAATAACTTATACAAACATTCGTTATTATATCCACACCACGTACATTAAAATATTCCTAAAGCTTTACCAATAATCACAGCATTTCGGACTTAAATTTTTTTTTTTTTTGTTTTAATACCATGAAAATTAGACATTTCAAAAAAGAACCTGCTGAAAAACTCCATTTCGACACTGCCGTGCACTATCGCTATCTGGATGTCTTAAAAGCGTTTTATTTGAAGTTAACAGCAGCATCGTCAACCGTTCCAGCATCGTACGAGCTACAACCATTTGTCCACGCCGTTTCTCACTTTTTAAATCATTCTGCCGATCACCTGAGCGATGAGCCAAATCAACCATATCACCACCAAATTCGGTAAAAATTTTTACAAAATCTGTGAAATTAGTTGTATTTTCTAATTTCACCAGTGAATATGCTATCTGTAATAAATCAAACATAAAAAAAAAAAAAAAAATAGAACTGCATCTCTCACTAATATTTCGCAATTTCAAGATAAGAAAGCTTGGAATTTTGCTTCTCCAAAATCTTTGAAAAGATATCGAATTTCTACAAAAATAATGTTAGAGTGATATTTCGGAAAAATCTAATATTGGACATGAAAATTAAAGTCTAAGTTTCCACCTTATCTTCAGATCTAAGAATATGTTTGACAAGAACACGATCTGCTAACAAAAGAACTCGTGTTACAGAAGTTAGGAGCTGTCGTGCAGCTCGCACAAGAACAGATTTATCAATAGCAATACCCGAATCATCCGTTAAACAACCATTTAAATTTGCTATTGAAGCTCCTGCAAGCTGATCATAAATTCAGTATGCAACCATGTTCCAATAAATTTTAAAGTTATTCTGCTTATCGTTAAATGCTTTTAAAATAAAATGAAAGATTCCATTATTGTGCAATATTTCTAAATGCCATCTAAGCAATAGGTATATTAAAAAAGAAATCTACCAGTGAAAAATTCAAGACAAACACTAACTGTTAGCTAGGCAAAAAGTTCTTTAAATTGCTACCTGCGAGTCGGGCTTCGTGACATGCATCATACATTTCCGGTTGTACATCTGGATTTTCATCGGCAATCGTTTCGCCGACCACTACAAAACGTTCAATAGCTGCTTCTACTGCTGATCCTATCTAAAAAACATAAAATTATCTTCTGAAATAAAAAAATTATACAAAAATCACTGTATCGAATTAAAAATGTAGACAAACTGAAAGGGGTATTGATGAGCTATGAGCTATTTAATCCCTGGATTCAAATTTTTCATTGAAACAGTCTCTCATATATTGTCAACAGGACTTCATTTTGGAATCACAGTATAGGGCTAAAGAAATCATCTACTTTCAGAGCTGAGCGAACAGCTTTCTCGGATCGTTTTTTACCACTTGACAAATAACCCTCCTTGAAATTCACGAGCGTTGTTATCTGAAAAAAACACCCCTTTAGCAATTTCGAAAAGGAGAAAACAAACAGCTGTCTACATGATAATTTTAGATTGTATTTTACAATGAATACATGCTGGAATGGAAAAGATCAAAGTACTAACAGGCTTGGAGAATGTTCAAATCACTTACAATTTTGGTCATTAATGTATTATGTTAGCTTCTTTAAGGAAGGATTACCTATAGAAAATAAGACTTAAATACTCTTTGCTTCTGCAATTTACTATTAACTAGCAATTATCATTTTTTGAATTTAAGTATTGCAGCAATGAAGTAATACATTTACCTTAACCGAAATTCATAAACTATCCTAATTAGGATGGTGTAATAATTTAAGGAAATCCTTCAGAACCCGTGAATCAGTTGATAGAAATAGCAGCCGTTCTGTTAAGTAGATAATATTATAGTAAATGAACTTGTACCTGAGTAACAAGCGGGACAAGAGTCTGCTCTATTGATTTCGTTTTGATTTCAAGGCTATGTGGATCGAAAGCACATGATGTATTTACTGCACCATTTACCAGCGTACTATTCATGGTTCTTGACTTTGTTCACAAACGCACCAGCTTCCAACGCCACTTTGAACGTTACATATGTCACCTAGCTAAGGCTTACTAGATGCATACATATACAACAGTCAAACCTTGCTACTGAAAGTAATGAATAATATTAGACTCACAGGAAAAATCACACGAGAAACTCTCCTACGATTTTTCTGTGATTCTCCTCTCTGCTCTAGTTTTGGATAAAAAAATCCAAAGTCATAAGTTACAAATCGAAAGTAACAAATGAATGTCATACTAAACGGAGTCAAGATAGACATTTTCCAGTTTTGAATAAGAAAACCCACAAGTAATATACTGCTGATTACACCAGAGAAAAATTGAGCATTGAACTGACCACAATTAGAGAAGAATTAAACATCAAATTACAATGTAACTGATAATCCATATTAATTCCCCCTCTCCCCTCCATTTGGGACATAATTCATTCAGTTATATAATAACTTTGCTTTCGTACACAACAAAAAATAAATGAACAAATAAGGAAATAAATGGATTGCATAGAACAGTCTCTCGGGATGATATGAAAGGTGACCCCGAGATGACCCCAAGGTATCACAAATATCAACAGTTGTTCAGCACCATTTACTGGATGAGAATAAAAGGGAGGGAAGCTATGTCTATCTATCTTCTTCGTTCTTTCCGCTTCCTTTTTTTCTTTTCAGCTCTCTCATCCAATAATTCGTTTCTCAGATGGAACTAACACACCTTTCTTTCTCTTACAAATCGAAAAAATTCGACGAATTCTCTAAGGTTTCTTCTGGTCACTCAGCTATTGTGACCTTCCAATGACCGATAACTTGTAATCTTATTGGTCACAGCTATACTTTGTATTTGAACAATAGATGTTGCGTAGAGTGGACTCACTAAAAAACATTAGTATGTATCGTAAGGGTATGACCTTTCACCGCAGTTATGCTCCTCTGAACTGCTGTAAGATTAAAGTCCTCTGAAAATGTCCTATCCAGTGTACTATTAAAGGGAGATAAAATTCTATTCAGGAGCAGCCATCTCTCAATCTCATAAACGACATCTCTTCTACAAGTAATTTAAGTGACAGTTATATATTTCTGTCATTTGTTAATACTTTTTTAAATACCCACACAGACCGATTTATTCCAACGTTTACTTTTGAAATTACTGCACATTTTACGGCATATAACTTTTTTTTTCTCATCCTTATTAGTCAGCCATGATAATCACTACTTACAAATATCTGAACAATGTTTCATAAGATGCGGTCTTATCGTTTGTTCTTCTTTGAATTCATTAAGAGAAGAGTGTAGGAATTTCACGGAAGCAAAATGAAATATTCCTAAATTAATTGACCAAAAAACTATTATCATTTTATCTGGACAAATCCTATCTAATATTCATGGGACATAATAATAAGCGATGGGAAAGTGGTAAAATGCTAAGGTACTGTACTGCTAGCAAGTAAGAACTGAATATGGTTTAAAATTCTTCTACCAAACAAATCAGTTACAAATGAAATAATTTAAAGAAGTAATCGGCTTGGATGGGATCAGTAACTCATTCGAGATAAGATACTTTTTCTTCAGCTAATCAGTGCACATTTCAGGAATAATCCTGGTAAATAATGATCTTCTCGGTCTTCTCAGTTAACAGTATGATCGCCGATTTCTCCATTCAGTAATTCTTGAATTGACTTTCAATACAAATTTAGAAACGTTTGGTAGAATATATCTGTCATATTCTATTAAAATATTAGAGAAAATAAGTGTTTTAAAACAAGTATTTTTTTATAGAGAGAAATCGATGGAATGTTTACAACAATGTTTAGTTTTGTTTTTGCTGAAGAGAATATATGAAAGGAAGTGCACATAAAAGTTCGTCATCAACAATATATTAGAACATTTTAGGAAAAAAGTAGAAACAGATGGAATTATTTCGAAGGTGATACGATTTAGTATGGCGAATATCATTTGAAATTATGCAAGCTAAAATAGTAGAGATAAAAACAAGTGGAATGAAAGCAAATGATCCCACAAACATTCAGTCATCGACTAGAATGATAATTCAATTCGAAGCATTAACAATCGAAGTGATAGTAGCAACCATTTGCTTTATCATTAATGCTTTCACTGTTAACATCATTAGTGGAAGGAGTACTAATAGTTGTAGTAAACAAAGCAGATGATGAATTTGTGTCCTCGCCTTCCGGTCGAGTTAATTACTATAAGAACGAATTAATTTATATATATATATATATATTAAAAACAATAGAATTAATAACGTTAATCTGAAATTGATGTAATGGGTGGTATCAATTACATTGATGGTATGGAATTGTGTCTGTGACAATCTTTTTTTTTCATCCAAACCAAGCTTTTCACCTCCTCTAAATTACAAGTGACAATTGGGAAAGGACTTGAAACTAACGATAAAAAGAATAAAATGAGATTAATTTCCCAGCATATAATTTGTTGAATCCTTCCTAATTCTTTTCTTCCATATTCTTTAAATCTTTTCGTTCATCTGAACAGTTGCGTTTTACTTCTATTGCTCGAAAATTGCAACCATTGTTATCTATTATCTTGCACTTTTTACCTAAATATTATCAAACAAAGGCCTGGTGACTCGATCGTCAGCAAATGTTATTCTGTATTTTTATTTACAGCAATATCGCAATTCGAGATGGAAATTATAGCCACCAATTAATCACAGAAACTTTTAAATGTAAAAATGTATGGTTGTAATTATAAGCTATAACTGAAAAAATATTCTCACAATTCGGAATTTTTTTGATGATATACTTTAATCTGAAAGCAATTTAATTTCGATTATTTTCTTTTAGAACAAAAATAGACCGAATTGGATGGTTGATGCATAGAACGAACATTTTAAAGCTAAATAATATCATATTTAAGGTTTAGACATAGTTGAATTATGAGGACATTTTCATTTATCTGAAGAAGTCAGAAATCAGAATGCTTAAGATAAATGATATCTTTATACGACTCCTATTTCAGTCATTTTCAAATCTGATCTATTATTCTGTTTTTCATTCCTATCTTTAACTGAAATGAAAGAAAAAAAAAGACGTACACTGAATCACAAAGCAGACTGATTAACAAATGATAATTTTCTTCTTGAATCGATAATTTGCAAATTGGTTACATCATAAGGTTCGTTGCATTAATAAGTTAAAACTAATAGATGGTAAACGGGAAAGAATTATTAAATATAAAAAATAAAATTTTAAAAAATGAAGTGAAATATTCTATCATGCTTTTCGTCTTCAATTCCATGATGCAATAAAGTCTCAAATTCTATTTTATGCAGTTCTTGTATATATAAAACATAATGAAGGGGGAGTGTTACTGACCGATTTTGATCGAGCTTTTATTTCTGTTCTGGCATAATCAGACAAATTTTATATCATTTCATAAAATAAATCAATAAAGTTCAGCAAAATATATATATTAATAAAAAGTTACTATCTGCCCTTTTAAAATTAATTCTAGAAAATGTTTATGAAATGAAACAAAGTAACTTCAAACAAAAAATTCAGAAAGTTGACTCTTCTAAGAGAAAAAGTATTCATTGTTAAAGATTGATTGCTTTTGTCACTATCGCAAACGGTTGATCGTCTCACATACCCGTTTCGTGAATAGAGAAAAAATTTTGAAGTGATATTTTTTGATCATTTAATTTGATTTTTGATTTGAAGTTCTGAAAATTACCCCATGAAAAATTGGCCCTTATGTCTTTGAAAAATTACTTCTTGAAAACTTGAAAAGTAAATTTTTGTAATTTTGTTTAGAACATACCTACTAGGAGTGACGGATGTAGCTAAAATTTTCATGCACATCGAAACTGAACCTTAGATAATAACTTAATTCATTGGCAGTCATAACTTTTTGCTAATTTGTTTCTCCGAGATTTTGCGACAGTTCTAATTTCTATGGAAATTTCAAAAATTTAAACTAAAAGTTATTGGGAATAATAAAAACAATATCTTTTGTTCATAATCTTAAATTATGGTAACCAGTAGATCGAATGCTGGAACTTGTTATCTTGTTGAACAGATATGAGGAGATAACGGAAGTTAAACATATTAGCATTCCTTCATTTTGTTAGTATGGAATGCATGACTTTTGACCTTAAATCACCATACAGAATTTTACACTGGAATTTCTGACTTCGGATCGAAATTGAGCTACTGTCAACATGCTTTTCTATTTTGAAACCCAACAGTAATTGTTTATCTCATCCTACCTAATTAATCATTTCTTGTAAAAAATGTGCGCATTGTTTATGTGTTTTGTTTATTCATAAACTCATCAATAAGGTTACTTGCATTATTATGAAGACTTAAAATTAGTCATCTTTAAAAGGAAGCTATTAAAATGGTACTAAAGCAAAATGGTATTTTAGAGCACCAGCTATGCATATGCATATCATACGTTTTGCAAACAATGATTAGTTTAAATGTAAACAAAGAATTTCGGTTATAAATTAACAAAAACACAAATCCAGCTGCTGACGGCATTCTTTCAGCTTTGAACTGAATTTGTTTATAAGCGTATATTCCATGTAAATACCGAAATACAGTAGGATAATTACTATTATTGAAATAACGTCCAAAAATAAATAAAGCCTTCGTTGAAGTCGACTGCACGTCCATTCTAAAAGTTTCAGAGCTCTCGTTGAAGAATTTTAATGAGCAGTTTTTTTAAATACTGAATCATTTCTGCGCTCGCAGAATTATTTTCTTTCATTCTATGCCTGGTTAAAATAATTCAAAGATTGTGAACGGTTGAACTAGTTGAGATCAACTGAATTAATTTAGTAAACGTGAGAATATGAAACAAAGTTCTTACTCAAAAGAGATTGCAATGAAAATACAAATTTGATTAAGATCATCTAAAAGTAAATTTCTCCGAATCACTTGCATTTTTGGTTTATCATCATCATTTTTATAAGTGAAATGAAATTTACAAGAAAAATTCCTTATAATTAATGTCCTCTTTCTTCACAAGGATTTACGAATTGGAAGAATGAAGAATTCAAAACCTTACAGATCAATAAAGCCAAAAATTTACATTTCAAAAAAAGACTTTCGAAATTTTAATTTAATGATGATATATATATATGGTATCAAAGTAATTAAACTGAGATTGACTAATGTCCTTACACAGTTATATGATATGTCACGCTATATATGCAGAGAGAAGAATGAATAGAAGAAATACTTATTGAAAAATGAAATGATATTAATCCTAAGAAAAACTAACAAAACCTACCGTGACTTTTCTTCCGAATTATTTGTTTAAGAAATGAATTTAAGGTTGAAGCGAAAGCAATAGCTAACAGCAGAATATAAGAAAAGCAAGTGGATAACATGGCCCATTTTAGTTTCTGAGGTTTATCAGTCAAAATTGATAAATAAGTGTTAAAACTCTCTTTCACTTCTCCTACCACTAATTCCAAATCACTGTTCACAATAAGAGGATATTCTGCAAAATAAATTTTCAGATAGATTAACTGCAAGCTTTCTTTGGATATATTAAGATTCGAAGATTAACTTCATTATAATTTGCAACGTTTCAAATATGGCAAAAACTTTAGAGATAAATTTCCTCATAGATCCCTTTTGCATCTTTTTAACATCTTTATAAAATAATAACATGAAAACATGATATTTATGTTTATTGCCTTAGAATTCATGAATGGAAAGGCTACTCTTTTGATGAAAAGTAACTTTTTAGTTTTGTATTTTAATATTTGATATTTTATTTAAACCTTCATCAAGAAATATGTCACATTGTCGTTGGCACAATTTCAAATCATCGACACAGAAATCGAGCAACATAGATGGTGCTGGTTGTAAGATGAAATTCCACCAAACCGTGGCGTGCAGGGTACCTGCGGCTACAATTAAACTTAAAGGCAGGTGTATGTAACCGAACCAAGCGGGCAATTTAATTAAATTGCTGCTTAATGTCTTCTTCTTGCTATTCACCATCGTTCCGAGTGGCTCTGAAATAAAAACTGAATTGAATAAGTAGAAATAGTTATGAAACTTTTTTGATTTTTGTTATGAATATCACATTGATAGTTCAAAACACTGTTGATATCGCTTAATATCAGACTTTATATCCATATCATATCACGCTAGTTACGTAATAGTTAATAGTCATACTTTAAAGGAAATTAAGTTAAAGATATGACGACAGTGCAAGCGTAATAAAGAGAAAAGGAGGTAGCGCTTTGATGACATTAATATTAGAACTGGGATGAGTTTGATAAGGATGAAAAGATTTTCTCAAAAAATTCCCAAAAAATTAAGATTCATATTTTCAAAGCTTCTAGTTCCATTTCTGAGATTTTAAGATTGAATACACACCAATAATCTTATTATGGCGTTCTTCGTGATAAGTAAAATCAATTGCCGTAATTCCGTTAATTTTTTCCTTGCGCGTCGTTTCGCTCACCCAATATTCATAAAACATTTGTCTTGAATTTTCAATGTCGTAATCATCAGATTGCATCCAACATGCTGAAAAAGAAATGCATGGAAAGAGATTTGCCAAATTCTTGATATTCCGACTGAAATTTCAAGACTACTTCATGAATTACCGATCTCAACATCACCTTTTTTTGAAAATATTCCTTCATTCTAATGATCTTTCATATAGGGATTTAGAAATCTAACAATAATAGAGCAGAACTGCAGAAAGTCCGAGAAAAAAAATTATCACCAAACTTAAAAAGTACCAAAGAAATAAATTCCTCATTTAGCTATTGCTTCACATTATTATAATTTAAATTTCCGAAATGTAATTTATACCTTGAAAGGTAAATACAGCTCCAACAATAACAATAACTTTTGTAGTAATTGCGATAATAGAAAAGGCTAGCAGATTCCCTACTTTAGCTTCTGTCACCGATGCCATTTGTAGTTGTCGCAGCTTTTTTGTCTCTAATACGATCTGCTGATGCATCTGAGCTATTTTGCTTTCTAAAATGAAACCATTCCTCGTGTACTCCCATTATTGCATATTCCTCAAATGTTTACTGAAGAAAAAAAAAACCTGTCCAATTGAAATCATTTATTGCTATGCATGTAAAGGATAAAATAAAGTTTAGGGAAAAGATTTGAGCAAATGTCATTCAACCGGTTGACAGCAATGGTTAGCCAACAATAATGTCATCTTAAAAACTTTTTACAGGGTTCATTTTTATTTGGCGTATTTAATCAACAAAAAAATTTTTTTGCAGTTGACAACAACATGACATTATAAAATATTAAGACCTCATTCTCGGTTTAAAATAGTTGATTTTATCGCCAAATAATTATTTACAATTTTAATTGCTCCTCAAACCTTTTTTTCCCTTGTGTCGTGACTCAGAAAATTTCAAAAATTGACTTTTTATGCATCGCACTGATACTTCATAATCTCACTGTTAACATTCTATCAACAGTTATATATATACAAACACTCATTCAGGTTTTGCTTCAAGACGGAAAAGACAAACTTCAATTTTTAAAAGTTGGACTTCAATCTAAATATAGTTTGAATAAAAACAAAGTCTAAGCTAAAACTTAGTTTCAGACATATCGTCATGGACAAATATATCTAAGATTTAGTTTTTTAATGAAATTTACAAAATTTACAAACACTATGATATTTAGATAAACATCCTTACTTCATGCATTACTACACGAAAGTTACTCATGTTAAAAAGTTATGCATCATCAGCAAAATTGGCAGCAGCAAAATCTAAAGAGGGTTTTTAATACAAATTCGTCGTGAAATGAAGATTATACTTGTGAACTCAAGTGATGATGATAAGTTCCATGATAAAATAATCCTAAAGAGGCGAATATCTTCAGAGATTTGAGTGAAATTTCACGTTTTGTTGCTCAACATCACAACTGTTTTCAGTCAGTTAATCAATTAATTCAACCAATTTCCTGTCTTCCTTCTTGACCACCGTTGTAGCTTTCGTGTGATAATTTTGCGTCAGATGTGGAAATAATTATATTGTTGGTAACGAAGTTGAACTAATTGATATTTGAATGATTGAAAATACTCCGAATGAAGCACTAAAATCAAACAAATTGAATGATTTAAAGGGATGATAGAAGTCAATACTTTTACAAACATTTCAATAATTTGTCATTATTCAAAAGATTTCTTAATAAGAAATTCCAAATTCCAAGAATATTTAGGAAGTGAGAGAAGGAAATAAAATCAAAGATAATAAAAAAGATAAAAAATAAAAAAAAAATGAAGGGAATAAAATCGATGATTTTTCCTTTTGCACTTTGAAAAACGATTCTAAAGCTCTCCATCCCTATTACCCACTTAAAATCAGAGTATCCCTTGACCAAGTCAAGGAACAGCATAGTAACTTCAAAAGCACTCACTCACTCCCCATTCCCTTTGCTCGAATATTATACACTAACCGATTTTCAAGAGTAATGCTGCAACGACTTCTAACTATATTCTTCCACAAATCACAATCTTAGAACTTCTTTGCTTTATTTCAGTAAATCATCTGAACAAAAGCCAAAGTATTTAAACTGCATAAATGAACTCATTAAAAAAATATTTTATTTATACAGTTTATATTAACATTACTGGAATTATCAGAAATAGACATCTAGCTGTTAGTAAGAGTCCATATTCATTTTAAATCAATAATAGCATAACAATACCGTGATTCATAAATGTATGTCCATATCAGCATTATTCCCAGAAATTCAAAATAACCTGTAAATATATTTTTAAAAAAAGGGATCTCATTCTACTGCAAAAAAACAGTTTCATGATAAAGACATTTCCTTGCAAAAAAAAAGATCCCATCATTCATTTCATTCCACTCACCAAGGAATTTGGCTAATCGCATTTAATTACATAGCCAAGTACACTAAATTTCATAAACAATCACGGGATGTTACTTTCTAAAGCATGTTGATGGTATTAATTTTAGTGTAACAATAAGCAAAAATATGACCTTCATATACTATTTACAAAACAACTGGCAATAACATAGAAAATCAAAATTGAAATAAAATGATAGATTGGCTATAGGCCGGAAGTAAACTCCAACTTATCCAAATTCCACATAAGCCTGAGAAATTTAGAAAAGAACATGACTTATGCCAATAAGTTGGACAAGGAAAATGACTAATTTAATCCATAGTTTTAGAGTCATTAATACTTTGAAATTAAATTTCAATCTAAAGCTTTATGGAAATGATTTAGAGTACAATACAACAAGCACATAATAATAAAAACATGGCACATAATTCGATTACAAAAAACTAAAACAATTTTAAGAAACTCCAATAAAAAGTTTCGACATAATTCAAGTTTGAAGAATGCTGGAATTAAACACTTCTCCCAAACTTCAAGAGGTGCATTAACATCCAAAATTAAGACGAAGCCTTAAAAGTGCTAAGGAACTATAAGGCAATTCAACAGCGTCGAACAAAAGGAAAGGAAGTATTTCCTTTTCGATGCTTCCTCATAGATTTATGCCCGCCACTTCTCCATTGACCAATATATCCATCATCATTATCATCATCGTAATCATGATCATCATCATCTGAAGATGAATATGAATCACTTACCCGATCCAGCTCTTCCTCCTGATCATCATCATCATATCGCGTATTGTAATCCCATCTGGCTGTTACTCCATCCCACTAAATACATGTTCAAATTTATTAACTTAACTAAAACAAAAATCAAAAAAAAAAAATAACATTAATTGCTTCCTGATTATAAATGGACTGATATTGATATAAGTATCATAATTGCTTGCAGAACATACTGAAACGGTGATAATCTCATTTTCTTCAGGATGCCAACAACAATCACGTACTACACTTCTGTGTCCATCCAAAGTCCGCACAATTTCTCCCGTTAAAATATCGTAAACTGGAAAGGATTCATCTGATCTTTCAATCTTGAATACAATACATAATAAAAGATACATATCAAAACAAAAGAATTCGAAGGTTTTACTAACTATATAAATTTCCTTCTGTGCTGCCGGTATATACATAGCGAAATCCAGTTCGTTCCGGTGAAAACTTCGCCCGGATGAGAGTGTGCTGCACTGAATGTCCTCGGAAAGTCAACAATGATCCATCACCTAACATACTTTATGTGCATTATCAATTCAGAATAACTGCCAGATCCTCGAGACAAGAAAGCAATTTCTCAACATGTTAGCCTACACGAATGTTCACTTTACCACATTTTCCTGTTATTTTTTTGCCACAGTCACCCGCATATTATTTCTAAAAAGATTTTTATGGGGAAAGGAAAGAACAAGAAACAGACCCTGCAAAGGACCAACAGACTGGAACATTGAAGGTATCTGTTGATATCTATAATCCCATCTTTGTCTTCGTACTGCACTGAGCGTAACCTTCTAAAAAAATCTTTAGAAAATTAGAAAGATAATAATGAATGCCTAACCTCGTTTACATTGATCTTGCGATAGCTAACATTTAAAATCATTTCATCTTCTTTAAGGCAATTGCATTGATCATACGATAAATCAGCATATTATTATAGAATATAAATACACAAAAGCTTAAATGTTGATTTTGAGTTCGGTAATCCGAGCAATGCAGGTGGCAAGCATCAAGTCAAATGCAGCATGCTATTGGCCTTCCAAATCTCCTTAATTTTTTCAACCACTAAGACACCACCACATAAAACCGGTTACATTATCTGCCGAGTGCGACGACTTTCTCTCTACTCAAAATTTAGAGCATACATTTAGCTGTGCTTTGACACTATTTACTTGTCACTTTTTTAACACAATGATTAAATATTCATTTTGAACATTTTACGTGATCTATTTGACTATGTGGTAAGAACTGATAAATACCTCGTCATCACTTGAAGAAAAGCGTCGTAGATCCCAAATCTTAACAGTTTGATCTTTAGAATTTGTCAAAATATATCTATCATTACCATGACTGTCAATGTAAGTGATCCCATCACGATGTCCTGCGAATACGCCAACAGCAAGGTTAGTGCTTCCAACCAAACGAGTATCCCACACCTATACATAATATTTTCATGTATCGAACTAATGATAAGCAAAACATTCTTTTTTAAATAACTCAAACATTGCTGAAGAAACATAATTTACAAGTAGATTACATATAATAAGCATAATCAAATTCAGATATAATCTCTAAATAAGAATTTATTCTGCAATTACTTGATTATTCAGTATAGCACCTGAAAAGTTGAAATTTGGTTCAATTTTCATAACTACTCATTCTGGCTTTTCGGTTTGGAAGCACTTTTGTCTGATTCTTCCTGAGAGTACAGTTAGATGATCGGAGGAATATTCATTCTTCTCACTTTTTTAATGCAATAAATTCAATTACCTTACAAAGTCCATCATCACTTCCACTGTAGAAAATATGCGGACTGGTTTTGCTGCAGCAAACCGCATTGACATCGTCTTGATGAGCTGGGAACTGTAATAAGACTTCAAAGTTGATAATTTCAATAATTCAGTTTGCTTTTCTCAAACCTCTCCTTGATACTTTTATATCGAAATGCTTTCATAAGAGAAGTAACAAACAACGGAATGGAGTTGTCGGACGCAAATATATTAGGATGTCTAAAACGTTTAAGTAACGATTTTTTGAAAGCTAGAATATTCTTGCAAAACCAGTTAATATCTTTGTGGCTTGCTTAAGGCTCTGAGTTCATGCTGAGTTCAGGCTCTGACTAGGATTTCTAATACATCACTTTCAAAACATTGGTCTACAATCCGGTAGAATTTCACATTAAAAAAAAATTCGTCGGAAAATAACAAACACCATTTGAAAACAAGGCTGTGCACGAGAGAACATATATATGAAACCATCCGATCCACCGGCTATGAGATAACGATCATCCATATTATATCGCAGGGAAAAATATGCGAATCTAAATCCAGATATCACTAGAAACACTGATATGAAATATTGTATCCAAAATCATAAGTTTTAAGTTTTGGATTAAAGTCATAAAAAGAATCAGAAAATTACATCAATAAAGGTGAAGTAGTTATCATGATATTTGATTTTGTCACCAAATACTTTTAAATTGAAAGACCCTGGAAATCTGGGGTTAAATGGGTTAAAGTTGAAGTCAAGCTGAGTTAGAATAACAGTTGAGAATGAAAAGGGATTAGACGAAACACTTCACCTACTAGAACGTGATGGCGGCATTTCTGCTCCAAAGAATGTATTCCAATGCAAACGATCAGGCAGTGTATCGATAGCAGTATAATGAACTATAAGATTAGAATCTATTAACGAGTTATAAAACTCAGTACGTAAATTTCTCATTTTCTTTTAGAAAACATCAAAGTGCTGAAAAATTGATATCAGTTTCTCCTAACTTCTTTTTAAAATAAAAACCCAAGTTCTTTTTTACAAATGTTGTCTTTCTAAAGAGAAAGAAAATTCAGTGCAATAGACGAAGTAACAAAATAAAATTTAGAATGAAGCTTAAAACTTTAAGTTAAATAACACGATCCAACAATAAATACATCAATTCAAGTAAAGGATTGCAGATGACCGTGTTGATCAATCTTACTCAGAAAACATGTTATCAATTTGAGGTATATTCTAAATTTGCAACTTGGTGAATTGAGTTTATCATGCTTCTAATCATGATCACCGAGCATAGTAAATTTCACTTCATAATGGCAAAGAAAGAATTAGCAATACTTATTAAATGAGAGCAACCTAAATAAATAAAACTAACTTTGGGTTACCTAAAGGACTCAGCAAGTTTTGTTAAGAATGCCAAAGTATTACAGAAAACCAATATGTTTCATATGAACAGGAACAGATAAAACGGCAGTGATGGATAAAAAAAGAAATGCATCTTAGAGTTTTAGAAAATGGTTGATATTATCAAAAGACGTTGTTATTATGAGATAATCAAAAAGCAACAAGAAAAAATCACTAAATATCAAGTCCAACAGTTATCAGAAAAAAGAGCGGTAGTTATTCCAAATGTGGCAGAATTGCATAGAGTGATATCGAAACAATTTGAAAATAACTAGAAACGAGTGAAAAAAAGAACAATGGAATTGATACATAAAAAATTTAAGATATATATATATATATATATATAAAATAAGAAAGTACTGCAATTATTCTTGAGCTAATTTGTGCGTGCATTAAATGCGTCATGGTTGTGCGAAGCAAATAAAAAGAAAGAAAACAGAAATTTACTTGAATCACTCCAAGTTGAGTATGCAATTTGATTACCAACAGAATTAACAGTTAAATCAAGAATGCTCCAACCAATGTCAGGTACTGAGTAATGATTTGTCGGTCCCACCAATGTATATCGAGGTTGTAGTTGATTTTGTCGCACATAAAAACGTAGTTTATCATCTGAAAATCAATCTTCCAGACACTTTAAAATTAATTTCCTAGAGACAATAATCAAGGAAAAACTTGAAAAAAAAAGTTCAAGAAAATATATAACCTTGACTTGCAGTAACAATCCTATTGCCTGGTAAATATAGACAGCAAAATGTTTTTGTATTTACTGTTTCGATCACAGCTCTTTGGTTTGGAAGATATCTAGAAAATAAATTCCGAAAAACAAAAGGAAAAATCAGCCAAAATGCTGAACGAAAGCATAGAAGAAGAAGGGAGGTCTTAAGATGAATATTTATTTTGTAAAGCACAAGATTAATTATGATGAGCAGTGTGTATAAAGAACTTTTACATTCCTCATTACAAACACAATATTTGTTGTCCAAAATGTATAAAAATGAGAACCTGAAAAAATCACCTGTTTATTATGGAGGCTTTTTCACCAGGGCTGAAAGCACCCCTCAAAGAAGAATGCGGTACATTCTGTTCAGTAAGTATACGATGATTTCTCGGTCTTCCTCGTTTACCTATTTCTCGAGTTTTGATCATGTCTTGAACTGAGAATTCTGGGAAAATAGCACCAGAGAGAGCTGCTGTAGTCTGTCTTAAATTCAAAGCACTCTGGAAAATAACCAAAAAAATATATATATAACATACAGTGATTCTGTTCCCAAAACACTGCTTTGAAAACAATAATTTTACAGTTGCAAAAAAGACCGTAATTTCGTAGAATTAAAAAACACCACTGAAACTAAATTCAAAGCTGATTATGATGACACCTCGATCAAATAAGGATCATTTGAAATGAAACTCCCCGTTCCACCCGCCAATTTTTCATGATGCATATCTACATTATCATTTCGGCCCTGAAATTTACATCCACTAAAATTTATGTCTATACAAATGAATAGCAGCTATCGAAAGTTGAGAAACATATCCTAGTTTTGCATTATTATTCACCACAAGCTTCGGAAATTCGTAGTACTCTTAGCAGTGTTTAATTATAACTGCAAAATGAACTTTCAAACAGACTAATGAATAAGAATAATAACTATTTCACATAAAGACTTCGTTAAAAAAATCTTGGATAGAAAAGGCGCTAAGTCCCACTTCATTGTTAACTACTAATGGCACTTTATACTGAAGCACATAGTTATCAGTCTTTCTGACAAGAATTTTTAAAGAGTACGGAAGTACAAAAATATGATTGATTTAATACTAAAATCTTAACATTACAAAATATTTGGCAAGTGAATAATTAAATCAGACCTTAAGAAATTTTCAAACCACAAATTCTTACATGGTAATATCTTATCTAAAACACATGTAGAATTGCTTACCATGTTCATTGCAGCATTATTAGCACCCATCTTTCAAGCAGTAGACAACATTTAGTAAACAACTACCTTCCCACGCGACCCTGAAATCAAGAGATTTTCATGCTGAAACAAAATTTTTACAATAGTTGCATCTTCAACCATACGTTAAAGACTTTTAAGTCTTGCCTACAGCCTAGCAATGTTCCAACCGCACAATATGCTCAAAAAGTAAGAAATAGGTTAAATTTCTATGAAAACTTCATATTTATACCAAGTTCTTACATGTATCATAAAGTGAAATTCAATTAAAACTAATGAAGGAATGGATAAGTGGCAAAGTAGATTAATGAAAGAATGGTGGAAATAATGGCTAATAAACTAGTGGAAGAACGGCAAAACAAAAAGGTGAAAATAATAGCTAATAACTACTCCTCTAATCATTAAAGGAATTAGATTTCACAAGTTTTTTTGTATCTGCTATTCGTGCTATTCGGGTGACCACAATATTTTCAAATTTCTCTTAGAAAGCTGATGTTTTTCGACAATTTTAAAATGATTTTAGCAATGGCCAGAAGTTGCTTACAATCGATCAAAAATATATTAACGTATAAGTAAAGAGTAATTTTCGGCTGGGGTAAAGATTTTCCCAATTTTTATTGATTACGAAATTATTTGGCTAGTAGCTGCTTTAATCAAATTACCTAATTGGAGCAATAAAATTAGTAAGCACAAATATACGTTAAAAGTACGTACGTAAGTGCAGACTCCACATACACACACGTAACGTAACAGGGGAAGATCGTTGCGGATCAACTCGGAACCACAGAATTTGTAATTTAAGGATGACGTGTAGGCGATACTGACATAGGGTAGTAGTGAGGAATATTGCTACGAGGAGACTGTATAATTGAGGAGAGAGGTAGGGAAGACTGGGGACAAAGGACACACTACACTCGGGAGGCGACGGTCAGGTAGTGACCTCTGGCGAGTTTTTCAGGTTGTGGAAGGTATATCAATAGCTAACTAACTAACCCTGTATAACCTGTGTGTTTTGTAATAGTGCTGATATAAAGTGAATGTCTAAAGGAATATGTTTCGCTGGCGTGAAGCAGTCTATCGAGACTTGCTGCAGATAAGTCGTACGTTGTTCATGTACATGCTTTCTTCATGTATATTCTTCCTTGATAACATCATTTTACAGATTACTGATGAACCTAATTGTTGGCGTCGCAGGTCGCATACTGGTCAGCAAGAAGTAAGTCAGTAAAAATTTTAAGTTACTGGCAGGTTATGTTGACTTTCTTTCAGTTAATTACTACTATATTATTGGGTTAAGGAAAATCTTTTTTAATAGGTTTTAATTGAGGATCTTTGTAGGAAATTTATCGGAAATGAAAATGATTTTGAACTTAATGGATTCTGTGTTTACAGCTATGGTTTGAACTTACGACAATTAAAGCATACTCTTCCTGATTTACCATACGATTATGGAGCATTGGAGCCGGTATTATCAGCTGAAATTATGAAAGTTCATCATGGCAAACATCATGTTGCATATGTGAATGCTCTTAATCAAGCCGAAGAGAAAGTAAAAGAAGCCTTAGCAAAAAGTTTGTAAATATTCTGCAAAAATTCTAAAATGGTGAAAATAGAAACTACCTGGAATCACAGGTAGGTAGAGTCCTATGCCCTAGCATATTCCCGAGTTGAATAAAACACTCTTGTTATGTCTGGATTCATTTTTAAAGAAACCACTATTCGCAGATGTGAGAAAAAATTAAGAAGATAATTAAGATTAAATTAAGAAGATCCCCAGAATTTAAAGCGCTTGTATTTGTCATGAATCAATTTTGGACATTTCAAGAACAAGAAGTTTCAATCTTTATTCACAGAATGTGTTCCATGTTTTGAATGAAAAGTTAAGGTTTCATACGAGTTAAGATTGTAGTCAGCTCCAGGTTTATCTTATTTTTGCCTTTTGAGGAGATGTGCAAGCCGTTGTTGCTGCAACAAAATTAATGAATTTCAATGCTGGCGGTCACATTAATCACACATTGTTCTGGGAAGGATTAACTACCATAAAGGATAGCGGAGAACCAAACTGTAAGTTCTTTTCCTGAAAAACACCCTTTTTTTTAAAAACTGTTCCAACAATAATTTGGTTTGAATATTTTCATTCCGTGTTTTTATATTCAGTAATGTATGTTCATAATTTGGAAAAATCTTTGGACAGTGGCAAGGAACATTCTTGAAAACTTGGAAAGTACTTTGTTCTTACTGTTTTAATAGTTTCTTTATAGCTGAACTGATGTCTGCTATAAAGAAAGATTTCGGGTCTTTGGAAATGATGGAGGATAAATTAAGTGCTAAAACAATTGCGATCCAGGGTTCTGGATGGGGATGGCTTGCTTATGACAAGGAAATGAAGCGTTTACAACTTGCTTGTTGTCCCAACCAAGATATTCTCCAATCAACAACGGGTATGTTTTTCCTAAAGAAGTCCCGATCATGATTAATTATTTCTTTTAATCAAAGTTATGTCAGTGTTTACATCTTGTTACTGTTATAAATCTGGCTTTGATCACATACGAGTTGTATGGTTCAGTAATGACTATTGGGAATTTTTTAATTTTAGGGAAAATATAAAACAATTTCAGGCAATGAAACTACAAATTTCAATTGCTACATGCTATTTTAGGTCTCATTCCATTATTTTGCATCGACGTCTGGGAACATGCATATTACCTGCAGTATAAAAATGTACGACCAGATTTCGTGAAAGCTATTTGGAAAATTGCGAACTGGAAAGTAATCAGTGATCGCTATGTTAAAGCTAAGGGATAATCGTTCATGATGACTTTTAAGTGAAATTCGCGAAGATGTACTCACCCATCATCACTGTGCTTTTGCATGGAAAACTTTTAATAGTGTAAATTACCATTGAATCCGGTGTGTAATCCTTTTGACCTCTAATAAAAACATTCTTAGCAAACATAGACCATCAGAAGTGAATCAGAACACCGAAAATTGATAAAGCCTTTAAATGGTTGATTTAAAAAGCCTGATACTGTTGGAAGCTTGTCTGTTTCCGGTATTTATACTGCATAACATTTATGCAAATAGTAAATTATATTTTCTTAAATGTTTTTACTAAACCCAGTAAATCTCCAGATTTACTTTTTGTCTCTCTTGAGGCTTTTTTCAGATCACAATTTTCATGATGATTACACGATGAAGCAGCATTGCAGTAATAATTAGTCTCTCGAAACTTACTTCATTAACTATGACCGAAAATAGCCGAAACGTCGTTAGATGCGAGATAGGTAATAAAGATATCACATTGCTTCCATTTACTAAAGTATAAATTAGTCGCGAAAAACTTTTGGAACCGGGAAACAACGTCAAGGTGGTATTAGAAATACTAACTGTTAGATCATGTTGGCGTTTTTGTCGCTCCCAAAATGAGTCATGAAAAGATTTATCGACTGTAAAGATTGAATAAATTAGAAATCTAGAAACATGCTTAAAACTGTTAAGATTACAAAGCAATGCAATCAACAATTTGACTGATTCAAATGATTAAAGAGATATGCTACGGATATATCTTAGGAATGTCTCATCCAATTTCTATCCTATAAATATGCAAAATCTGGATAGCTCCAGCAAATTGTAAAAGACATACCCCTCCATTTGAATTTCCTTTTAGATAGCATCTAGAAATTTGGCGAAAATCAAAAGTCAGGTAACTTTGAGATCGAGATTTCTAAGCTAAACATGTTAACAACTTTCCAAATCTGTGGCATGCTGCGGTTAAAAAAATGCTCAGTTTCACCTGTTATTTGACTTTTTCTGTACGTTTTCAGCATAAAAAAGATTTCCTTACTGTTCTTTGACTAGTTTTTCCAATCCACAAAAGAGTTTTTTTGCAAGTAATAACGGTATTACTGACTATTAAAGTTACTGAATATCACTGAATTAAGCTTACGATGACCTAGCTTCAGTAGTCAGAGGTGTGCAATGATCAATGAATTCTTTTGCGGCGGGAATTTTGTCACTAATGTTTTGGTCGAAAATTTCTGAATTTGAAACGATTGGAAGAAAAACACCAACAAAATCCTCCGAATATGGTGGAGCAACAATCTCGAGAACTTCAGTCGCGAAATACCTGATTTTAATTAGGACTTAGAATGAATTTTCAATGAATTTAATTTAGAAAGAAATCCACTCATTTTCCTACCTTTTTCTAGCAAAAACGGAGATTAGAAAGAGTCAAAATCCATATATGAATCAATGATATGCAGCCTGATATACTTTCTGAATAGAAATCAAACGACCAAGAAAGATCTGGGATCAAAAACAGTAAAGATATTACCTGACAAGAGAAATGTCAATTTGACCATCACGAAACATTTTGTTAATTTTCTCAACAACCGGTAAGGCCAAACCAACTGATAATAAATGAACGAAGCGGTCGACTACACTACGCTGCTTCTCCATAATAACTTCAGCAGCTTCATTCATCATTGATTGCCTGTCATACAGCTCACACAGAATTCGGAAAACTCTAAAAATTTGTCAACTTGTCAGATAGAAAGGCTACTATTTACCACTATCTCATCAACTACAAAACTATAAAAGTAACAATATTACTATGTTATTAATAGTTGTTAAATGAAATAATCTAAATACTACAAAGCATGTAGGACTTATTACTAATGGCTGTCATCCAATACTTACAAAAAAATCACATTAGTCAACCAATACTTTAAGAAACTTTAAAAAAAGAAAAAAACTAAAGTTAGAAACAAGACAAGGCTAGCTTTGTAGAAAAGGTATTCAAAAAATACCTTAATTGTAAATTAGGATGTGTTGTAGCAATCTGGTCAAGCAATACAAAATGCACCGGTTCCGGTTCACTGATAAGTTCTTCGCTTAAAAGATTTCCACGCAAATAATACAATAATCCGGCGGCAATGACAGGAAGACGTATTGCATATAACAGTGATTTCATTTCCTTCATAAGGTCATCTGTCTTTTCTAGCAAATTAACTATTCGTTCGATGGTATCCCGAGTCATGTTCAATTCATGTCGGTTCTGTACTCGGCCAGTAGTCGTCTTCTGTTCAGCAACACATGATGCATATGCCAACAAATAGACATATTTCGGTCGATGATCGACATGAACTTTGATACCTTCATATGCGAAAAGTGAGTCAGTTAACATGTCAACAAAGAAATGTTCTCGAATTAATTCAATTGGCGGCGGATTTGATGAAACGTACTGCTGAAAAAAGAAAAGAGTCATTTAATTGCATAATGAATAAAAATGGGACCAAAATAATTGCAAATTAATGAAAATTAAGCACTAAAGCTATGTTTCTGTGAAAGTATTTCGAAGGAAGAGTGGTTGACCTGATACAGCTGTGTGATATCCGCAGGATTCAAACACTGCTTGCTAATCATTGTATGCATTGCTTGTAACAAGTTTAATGTAATCTGTTCTTCATGTGATTGCTTCAAAGCAATGTGTAACGCCGATGTGTCCTGTTCACGATCATGTGCTTCCATACGAAGCACTTGGGAGATATGAGCACAAGCTGCAGAAGCCATTCCGGTTTCCTAGTAAATATGTATAGGGTAAATTAAAAGTATCGAATTTCCAATATCCAGTCACTGAAGTTAAATTGATGTATTATAAGCCTGATTTGGCCTGCGGTGAGCCTTCCAGAAGACTCATACTTTTAATTTAATAATGGTTGATAAGCAATTCATAATTTATCTCACAAGATCTTGGCCATTCAACAGGACCATGCTTTTCCAGCTCACAGAGACAAATATATGAATACGCTGAATATATTGGTAACAAAGGCATGCCCAACATAAGGCAAAAATATTGATTAAATCAAAAAGTACTTCTTCACATATAACGTGTAACAGCGCTTGTGTATAAAGATATGTGTGTTCACTATGACAAACGACTCGAACAAGCTCCGCAAGAGCATTTTCATAAGCTTCTGTCATAGGACCTCGCCGATGTTCATGAAATACAGCATCAATTGTGAATAGAACTACTCGCGAAAAAATTTCAAGCTGAAATAAAAAGTCAAAATATTATGATACTAATCAACTTTATGAAACAAATATATTTTCCAAAAACTTGTTTTACGAGTGGAAAACTAGTACTTTATGCACACTTTTCTTGAACTATAACACTGATAATATAGCAAAAAACTCAGTAAAGTCCAGGAATACTTTCATAAAAACTGTCGAATTAAAAGTATATTAAGAAACTCTACCTGTTGAGCTGCAGTGTTTACATTACTAATTTCATGTTGAAAACCGGCATCTGATATTAATTTTACAGCAAAATTTAACATCAAACAGTGAGGATATTGTTCAGCAAGTGAATAAATTAACCTCCGCCAAGGTCTGGAAAAACTCTACGTAAATCATATTTTTGAAGTGGTCTCTTACTTCAAAAATTTCCTACTCACCTACTTGAAATTTCTTTGAGATTTCATTACTGAAATGATTTACTGAATAAAGACTGAAAAGAAATCTTGTTTCACGATTTGCTTTATTATTGCATATCTGCTCACTGGAAAGTTCATGTTGAAAAGTAGTACATCAGTTAAATTAACTAAAAAGCGAAATTTAAAAAAGTGCAACTAACTTGTGGGAGATCAATTCAGGTAGCCATTCAATGCCAACACCTTCTGCTTCAAATATTTTGTCCGCTAATTCGGGTTGAAAATGCTTTACAATTAAAGCACTCAATGCTGATTCGAAACATTCGTCTACTGTCGCTCGACTACCCTCCAAATCCGCCAACCAGTCGCCGATTAGGTTACAAAGCTTTAAAAAAAACGTTCGAGACGATTCTTTGTAATGCAACCTTCAAATTTACAACATCCTTATTTACTGCTATGAATAACAAGAAACGAGTCACTAAGACTTCTTCCATTGCTCACTTGCATTTTTCTTCACCTAATTATTAAAGCATGATTATTTCGTAATTTCTTTATATGTCAGTGCCATATGAACGACTTCTTCGCTTATTAATATATCTATTGTCCATCGTCCAAATTGACTTTTTACCTGGCCCAGTGAGCAGTAGTTTTCAGAAAGTAAGTTGACAACTGTTTCCGGATCTCCACCACAACGAAAAAATGTTTGCAAAACACCAACTATTTGCGGCTCCATAACGAAATCGGGAACTGGAATCTGATACTCACTTATACTAATTTTAAATTAACAACTGATAAATTCAAAAAAAAAAAAAAAAAAAATTATAAAGAAGAGATACATAGTGGTGCCAACTTCTGGTCTCGGATAAGTAGCAACTCTAGACTCTCAGGTCACTTTTCTTAAACATAATAGTTTGAAGAACTTACGACTAAGATGGCGCATGCAGTGATCCAGCAGCATTTCCCTTTCTTCTTCATTTGTTTCATCATCATCTTCCCCGCAATCACCTAAGTCTTCCATTCGGTTGAACTTTTACAATACAATCTGTAACAACTACCTCGAAATAAGATAAAATCTTCCCAGAACACATTTTACCGATAAAGACAACAGTCTCAATTCATCCCAATTTTAAATTTTAATTCCTTACACTTTGTATCCTTAACTATATCTAAAAGAGCAAACGTATGCTCCCATCGCAATTTTTCTCAGCCAGCGTTTCTGAGATATAAAAGTCAGCAACCTTCAAGAAATAATAATCAAAATTAGAGGAAAACTAGATTCTGAAGATGTTAAAGTCCGCAAATAGTGGAAAACATGTCATCAGAAGTTTTATTCAGTATGTATTACAAAATCAGCTAACTCATAAAAAATGCACCATAACTTCGGAAAGTTCATTTTATCAAACAGAGAGCATATTTTGAATAAATTAACAATGCATGTCAACCGGAAAAATATTTATTACATGCTAATGATTCATCACTATAAACCAATTCGTTATTCCTTTGTTATATCCCATTCTTTGAAACAGTGAATCCTTTATCTAAATCTCAAATAGTAAATGTCTTCATTGCTAATCTGCTAAGCCAGCGCACTTTCCACATCTTTAGAAATCTTCTCTAATTAGTTAATAAAAAAGAAACGATCGGTGGCAGTTTTCTCACCGTTATTCAGTAGTACCATTCTTTCCTTAGCTGTTTCAATTATTCGACTGATATTGTATCGACTCACATTTATAAACAAAATAAACAACATTTGGGGTCATAACATCTCGACATTTGGTCATAACATCTCGCTCGCAGATAAGAAACAAAAGGCTAAGTCCAGGTTCTACAAACTCAAAGTAAGTCAAGTTTTTGAACTTAACCTAAATCATCTATTCTTCTGAGCAAAAATTTACTTCAAATTCACGATAATCATTAGATAAATTCTACATGCATTATGAACAAAAACTGAAATTTGGCTGTCATTTGGTGTGTCTAAAAGAAAAAAAAGCTATTTAATGTTCTGTAAAAACTGTGCTTAAGCAGTGGATATCGCAATAATGTAAAAATTAATACTATAATTAATGGACGATCCGTTAATACAAAACACAATTTGGAGAAAAAAAGGATAAAAGCTGACGTCTAACTTGAAAAACCTGACGGAGACTAATTCAAAAACAATTTCTTGAATCTAAGTTACAACAACAAACAAAAAAACCATAATTTTTAAAATATTGAATGCTGAAGCAGGCTTATTACTTCACTTTACTCAACAGTTATGCTAACAGTGTTTATTTATGCCAGAACTCGGCTCTGATTCGATTTTCTACCTGGCCATGATTCTTTGGCATATTTCTTCTTGTGCGGTGCATCATCATCTTCATCATCATGTATTCGGTGCGTTCCCTGAACGAAAGGACCAACATGTCCAGAGGTAGGTTCCGGCAAACTTTTCGCATATAACTCCAAATCCGGAGCAGCATTCATAACAATTGACAAACTTGAAATCATTGGCTGTACATATCTGAACAGCAATACATTCAAGTAGAAAAATATCGGTTAAAAATATTAAGCTTAAAGAAAAAAAAGAAAAAAAAAAAAAGCATTAACCTTGCATTTTTGTAATCATCCACGCGTCCAGGCCTCAGAATCTTTTTCTGTGTAGGACCTTCTTTAGCTCTTTGCTCAGTTCCTTCATCCAAAGGTTTTCGTTTTGTAGATATTATTGCCGTAGCAACCAAATTTCGAAAACGTCCTACTGTTGGATCAATATCTTCTTAAACAAGAGAAAACCATATTTAAATTGAATCGGCAATTGATTGCTTAGAAAAAAACTGCCGAAGAAACCAATATTAAATTATTCGAATTTGCAAATTGCTTAATAAAATAATCTGTAAACTTACCTGGATTAATTATGGTTTCCTCTTCAATAAATGCAACATTTCCACGTGGCCTTTTTTTCCGTCGCGCATCTTCTAGTGAAATTGGTATAACGGGTATTCGTCTATTTAGTGCTGTGTTATACTCAGTTAGGTTCTGAAAATTGTTCAAACAACTAATTTCTCTTGATTTTATTTGATTCCCAGTAACAAGAAATGCAGTGTGGAATAGCATGATTAAAATACTTCTTGTGAACAAAATTAAACGTAAACGAATGGACTATTATGATTCAATTTCCACAGAAAGTCATAAGGATAATGTGGAAATACACAATCCATCAGAATAGTCAAAGAATTCCTCCAAACATTATTAAGAAAATATGATCCTTTACAGTATAGAAAGACTAATCAGGGAACGCGCACACAAATAGAATGAAAATCTGGTTTTTTTACTAAGGCTACACATCGAAATCAAGCCAAGAAAAATCCAAAAAAAAAAAAAAAAAACTTCAGGACACTGTGCTTAACCTCAAGCTCATGTTCCTCTGGTAGCAAATCTTTATTTCCTTCATCGTCATCATTAGCCGAATCAAGTTTCGCGCGCAATATGTACCTCCTCGTAGAAGCACCGAAATGAAATATACTGGCAATATCTATGAAAACTGGTTGCTTTGGTTCAATGCGGACCTTACCAACAAAGGTACCATGACCTGAAAAAAAAGCTCTTCAAATTAATTTTTCCCACATGAGAAATTCACTTGCTAATGTGACTTATCCGACCGCTCTATCTACCTCAAGAAATGAGAAAAAAAATTTTGTGTTCAGAAACACTAACCAATGAAATGAGATAATGTAAGAAATGAAGTTCTACACTTAAAAATATAATTTATAAAAGAGGAAATGCTACTAAACTAAAAATGATGTCACACTTCATAAAATCTGATAAGTTTTTAGGTTAAATTTATATTTGAATATTGCCAAAAATACTGACGAAAACGGCGAAGACCTACAGCTATTCATATCTACGATTGCAAATCGTTGCAGAAATTTATGATAAATCAGAACAGCATGCACTCTGGAACACGATGCATGTTCCACTACAAAATCACATTGTTTGGGATTACGTCCAAAGAAATAGGCACGCTTTTCATCAACCATCAATTTCTGGAATAAATAAACAAGATTTTTCAACAACAACAATATCCGAAGTAGTTAAAAATACGACAGCAATAAAGTACGCAGTAAAATTTTCACAGTATGAAAATAATTCATACTGTTCGAGTTAATATTAACTTAGTGATGGCTAGTAAAGTTCAGGAGTCAACACGTAATACAGTATCTTCTGAACTTGTCTGAAGTATCTGATTTTGCATGATGATAAGATGGACGATATGAAAGATAAGTAAATGAACATACCTGGATTAACTGATCACCTTTTACAACATCAAGATGACATCCACTCGGTGGCCTCCCTGCCCAAGGAGGTATTTCATATTCGACTATAGCATTTACTGCACCTTCCCCCGAAGCACCTACAGTAGACAGAACTGCATTCGTTGATAAAGAAGTTACACTGTTTGCAGGAGCAACTGATCCAGCAATTCTTTTTCCATCCTTTGTTACTTCGGAGAACATTGATGCCAAAAATACCCACAAGCTGTAATTCTGAGATGGGAAAATCTGAAAAAAAAAAAAAAAATTAAAACGAAATTCTACAAAGGTACGCATTAGATATCTTAACCACTTATAACAGTCGCAATTAGGAAATCTTAAACGAAATCTCAAAACTACTCATTTCTGTCAAGAAATATTTTTTTAATCTGCACATTCAAATCTGCAAATCATTTGTTCCAGTTGTTATTCAGATTCTAGCAAACTAACAAATAAGTTCACTTCAAACTAGGAAACCCATAATTTATCCGAAAACATAAAATGGCAAACTTGTATAATATGTTAAGCAAAGTCACAAAACCAGTTCTTCAAACTATTAACACATTCAATGAGAAAATAATTTATTCGAGACATACACAAAACGAGGTATACAGAGCAAATTTTCTGTCGCTTAATAATTATAAATACATGATTACCAATTATCACAAATCTGAATGTTACTGTAGAGCAAAGGTAGTGTCAAATACTACTGCACATTGATAAAAAAGATAAATCAGGTAAGGCGCTATGCAAATATAGACGAGCAATGAATGGACAAATAACTGTTTTAACCAGTAAGACACAAACTAATTAATTACGAATCAATGTACAAGACTAGTTAAAAATCACTCGGTAAGACAACGGTCAAACTTCTCTCCAAATACCAGTAATTAAAGTTAGCAAATTTAAGTTAAATTAAAGTCATTAAGTTTAAAAAAATATATTACTAATAGAAGTTAGCAAATTGAGATTTATCGTAAATTAGGGACTTTGTTGTTGACAACAACCGATTCTTCTTCTGTTGCGACGTGCGACTTTTTCTTTGATTCTAGACGACAATTTATACAAGCTGCAAAAAAAAGAAGTAATCATCTTACGAGAAAAAACTGATAAGTAAAGAATCGATAAGTAACCCAGATGTAAAGCAAAGTAAAGAATAAGCCGCATAATATTTTCTACCTTCCCAAAATTTTAAACGAAACTTTTTTTCGTGATAAGCAGAAAGTGTTTTCTTAGCTCTCTTCACCTGAAGCACAACAGAGTTTAACGTTATTAAAAATGATTTATGATAACACATAAATTGCAAATCACCTAACAGATCAAAGAACTCGTAAACTTACAAAGATTTTCGTCTCTCTCTGTTTCGAATATAGAATTCAGAATTAAACGAGGAACGTGCATAGTCTGATCATCTAACAAAACGATATCATATCCATCCAAATATTTAGCCAGTAATGTTTCGTCATTATAATTCAGAAAACCTATTTTCAATGCAACTTGTTCACATTCCAAACCTACGTCCATTTTCGAATCTAAAATTCAGATGAAACTGAAAAAAATTGGAAAATATAATCTCAAACTAGAAGCTGGAGTGTCCACGAACCAAATAAAGCAAAGCTGACGTCAAGAATAAACATGGACTTCAGTATTAATTTAAACGATGCTTTCACTTGAATTTTTATTAATTCAAAATAATGATAATGATTGAGAATACCTCCTAGAGAGTCGCCCATCAATAAAACACATGTTCGCGATGAAATCTCACTGAACAACGACCCATAACGACTAATAACAGCACTGTTTTTACAAAATGTGTGAATAAGAGGTTCACTAAATGCAACTGCTACATCGTTTTCATCATATTTCTAAATGCTTTACACATTAAATAAGTTTCAGAAAATCAACTTAGTTATTTCATCAAAAAAACTCTCTCTCTGGAAGCTTCAAAAAAAAATACTGTCGCTGTTCTACCGGACTAAATCCAGTATTCAGTTCTTGATATTCGAAAAATTGGATATACCCGAAAACTTAACATTACCAATGTAAGTTGTTTTGTTCTGGGATTCGTAAAGTATACTGATAATAACGTCAAGACTTCGAACGGATCCCTACTTTTAGTAAACAGTGATTCTACTAAAAAATAGAAGTTATGATTACCATCATATTCGAAACAATGTGTATATTATTTGGAAATCTGCCAAGCTCTTTCCGCAAAAAAAAATCAATCACGTTTCCTATACCAGCAGAAAAAATAATTAAAGGCACGTTATGATCACGCAACATTAGCATTAACTCCTCTGCTCCTTCCCTGGAAAAAATACAGTCTGACAAAAAACTGATCACTATCCTAAATATTTCACAATAAGTTAGACACTTTCGACAACCTAAGAAATTATTGCAACCCAAAGCAAAAAAAACATCGCATGTTGCTTGAATTCATTTACTTTAATTCGAGTTTTGCTTCAGCAACAAATTTTTGGATCATTTTCTTCGTAAAACCAGTTTTGATGATGTGTTCGTGAGAAGTTCTCCACCTAGAACGAACTGCACGTTATTATTTATATATGTGATGCAATTTAGGATCTGGGTAAGACTAAGATATAAATAAAGAGAATGAAAGAAAGCATACCAGTCTTCCATGTGAGGAATTTTTTCAGCAACTGTTATGTGTGGATCAAACTCAATTGGGAGATATTTCTCCTTCAGTCTTTCGAGAATCATACCAAGCTCTTGCGACACTGTCCATGCAGCGCTATCAAAAACGCCATGTGTTGTTAAACAACTTTTACCTTCAGGGTCGTGGAAACGTGATAACGTATAATCAAAATCTGAGACCACCTAAATACCTTCATTCAAGCATCAGTCCATTTACGTAACAGAATTTTCAAAAAGAAATGTGAATGAAGTGTGATATCCACCAAGAAAATTAATAATTATTAAATAATTCATAGCCAAAAGCAACTAACGAACTAGTGAAAATCTAAAAATTAACGTTGGTGATGCATCTTAGAAGACGTACAAAACTGGCAAAAATATTTGGATAGCAATTTATTGTATTGATATATAAAAAACAGAGCAGAAAAAGAATGAGATGCTTGAAAAGTTTGAAACGGAAATCCTAAGTTTCTAAAAGGTGAACCAGTCAGCACAAATACAAACTACGTATATATGAAAACATAGCTACTGTTTCAAAATATATCAAATGATAGCCTTACCAAAAGTTTATCCTTGTCAGCACTGATAATCTGGTTAAGTTTCTGTTCTACGGCAGACGAGTCGCGCATGCGCACCTTTTCACTGGTAAGCAACACATCGATCAGCATATAAAAATCAATGTTGAAAAGGAAAACATAAGGTCGAAATTTATTAACAACGTAGTATATGTTACATAGGAAATTCATCGAAACTAATTTTCCATTCCACTCGAACGAAAGAGGAGATATTCTCCATTCCGTAAAAGCAGACGAAACAATGATTTCTTAAACAATAACTTCTACTCTAACAATATACAATAAACATGTTAATATGACGGTTGGAAATGAAATTCGGTCCAAAAAAAGTTAGCGAGATGTTATACAGGATATTTATTCTTCATACATCAAAGTATTAGCATAATAAAGATAATCCGGAAATCTGATATAACTGGATGACAATAGAGAATACGGCCATTTGACACTGGTATAACTGCATGATTTCGGGGAAAAAAGTGTTGAAGTGATAGACATTTGATTGGAATAGTTGACGATATAGTGTGATAATGTAAGAAAAACAAGAAAAGTAGCAAGAGAATGGGAAATTATTGAACTAAGAAACAAAAGGAAATGATAACAATGGTAAAATGTGTAGATAAGAATACTACAATATTCGGACGGTGACGGTTCTCAAGCAGTACGGACGGACGGAAGACTGCGCTTCCATACTATTCCGTCCAGCTATTCTCCGCACTATGAGCCTTTAGTAAATTAGCAACCACTTCTATAATCATTCTCTGTACTGCATTACGGTCTGCGGCATCCATTTCTTGCTTTCCGGCTGCACTGCATTACGGTTTACGGCATCCATTTCTTGCTTTCCGGCTGTACTGCATTATGTTTTGTGGTATTGATTTTTCGCTATCCAGCCATGAACCTGAGAACTGCACTCGAGAATAATAGGCTTGATAGGCTGTGGGTTGCGTGCATGGCATTAAAATACTGTACGTGTGTTGGCGTTGCCTTTTTTCACTAGTGGCTTAGGTAATATTAGGACAGAATGAGCGTAAGTTGTTATTAAAAGTAATTCAGGTAGTACTCACAGAAATCATGGCAAATTATCATATGTCAGGCGCCGAATATCTCGCATCTATTTATGGAACTGAAAAGGATAAGGTTAATAGTTTGGTATTTGATATTTTACTTTGCATGCTTTGAAGATTGTCAGTTTTGACGTAGCAAAAAGATAGATTTGTACTGTCTCTACTAAAGAGCCGTCCTGAAATGCGGGAAATTTGTTTTTTTCTGCAATACAGAAAATTTAATTTTGCTGGAAGTTGTCTTGTAACAGAATCTCCGAAACTTATTTCTTCGAGAATGAGACGACTTAGAAAAATAAGAAATAATGATGGGAAAAGGAAACAGATAAAAAGATTAGTAATATAAAGTGCTGTAATCATTTTAGGTCAACTGTTCCTTCTACTTCAAAATAGGTGCATGTCGACATGGTGACAAATGCTCTAGAACGCATATCATGCCTTCTTTCTCTCAAACAGTTTTATTGAAGAATCTTTATCACAATCCGATGATTGATACCAGACAAGCGGATGCCTTTGCTAAGGTTGCGTCTTTTACAGTTGTTTTCAAGCTTTCTAGCTTCCTTACTGAATCTTTATCAGCTTCCATTCTACCATATTCGAGAAGTTGCATCTTTATAATGGTAGCTGTGGTGTATTGAAAGCAGTTTAATATTAGAAATTTAACTTTAGTCTTTTGGACCGGCCGTAGTTCTCACTTTGGCCTTATTTTCAGAGCCAAAAATTTAATTGAACGTGTCGTGATACAAATCAGTCCATTCGTCTCTTGGCACATTAGTTATATTGGTAAGACGCCGTATCTGAACTCTCATTTCAGCCTAGAAGACTGACAAAGGAAACCCCTAGGTTTTTGGAAAGTGAGAAATCATGAAGTAGCGAAATTTTCGGGAAGTACTTTATTTAGAGACCAAATCTTAAAAAACAGCAGAAATTGAAAGAAACCCTCACAGACTGATAAATAAAGGAATAAAACCAATGGCGTCCTCACAGAATGTAAATAAAGAATGATAAACAACTTTCTTTTAGTAAAATTCCTTGATAAACATGTGGTTTGCATATGTAACATCGAATTTGATCTGATAATGGTCGTTAATTCTGACTTGACAGTATTAATTGCTCAAGACTTACTCTACTACTTAGTTATGCTGTTTTGATTCTTCTGATTTGTTTATTGTTAATACTAGCTTGAAGTACTTATGCTTGCAACGATTATTTGAAACTTATAGCTTGTTTAGGTTGGCCAAATGAACGAACAAGAGCAGCAGTATTTTGAAGAGTTTTTTGAAGAAATATTTGTTGAATTAGAAGATAAATTTGGTCCAATTGATGAGATGAATGTGTGCGACAATATCGGAGAGCACATGATTGGCAATGTTTACGTAAAATTTGAAAATGAAGAAGATGCGGACAAATGTGTCAAGGGACTTGAGAATAGATGGTAACATTTCACTATTTTAAGGTTGTAAAATTCCATTATCACCACAGACTAAGTCACTTGCTACCAGCATTAGTTTATTTCGTAGTGAGAAGTGAGATAAGTATGGAGTAAATAGGTCACATCCATGTTCGGTGCTTTTAATATCTGCCCGCCGTCTGAATGATATTTTTGTCTAAAAAGAAAAAATAAAAAACTGAAAAAGTTTATTCTAAAATTTGAAGCTTTATAAATGAAGTAAAGTTATATTATTTCTAGATTTGTTCATTTCGTAGTTTCAGGTTCAACGGTTCACCTGTTTATGCTGAGCTATCACCTGTGACTGATTTTCGTGAAGCTTGTTGTCGACAATATGAATTGGGAGGTTGTAACAAAGGTGCTTTTTGCAATTTCATGCATTTAAAGCAAATATCACGTGATTTGAGACGAAAGTTATATGGTTCTCGGGCAGAGTACCGTGGCGGTGGTTATTATGGTGGTGGAAATTGGCACGAAGGTTTGTGATCTGTTTTATTGTAACGCTTTTAATTAATAGATTTTACTGATGTAAGTGTTGTCAGCAAGTGCAACTGAAATTTTCAAACAAATGAATGCCAATAAAAAATAATACGTTTTCGTATGTTATTCATCGAATGTTGCAATAAAATTATTTGCTCACTGAACATTTATGATTAAAATTCCATCGGGAACAAATCTTGACAAAATATGTGGAGGAGTTCCACCCTATTCTGATCAGCTTGTGTTTGTATGGTTTTTTTTAACGTCCGTGGCTTCCTTTTTACTTTTCAGGTTACTTTTTTAATTTCCTTTGATTTAGTCATTTGAGGTCCATCACTCTTTATGAAGTAATTTTATCACTTCTGTCCATAAATTTTAGGTAGAGGTGGAGATTATGGTAGTTATTCTCGTCGTAGTGGTGGATACGGCGGTGGTGGCAGTAGACGGCGTTCACGAAGCCCTCGATCAAGACATCGATACTAACTGGATGACAATGACTATGAAAATTTGTTTGGTAAATGTATTATTGAAGATACTTTTTTTTAAATTGTGGCAGTCATGTAGTAAACATTGTATATGGTCTCACTTGTATGACCATTCGTTCATACTCGTCTAATTTTTTATTACAAATCGTGCTTTTCAAGGACGATTTGTAAAATGGATCCTGATTAATTTGAATAAAATTTATGAGCTTCTACAATGTGTTGGAAAAAAAGCACAGCTTATAAAAAGTTTGCACTGAATTTAATATTTATTCCACATTGGTTTATTGTTTTGAGGTCCATCACTCTTTATGAAGTAAGTTGTTTTGTAGCTTAGGATTTTATGTTTAAGATTTCCCTAATTTTTGGGGAGTTAGGGCTAGAGCATATCTCGCATTGTTTGTAATCCTTATTATTAAAGGAATGTCCTTTAAGTTCAAATTCTCGAAATAATCATTCATCATTCCAAATGTAAAATACCAAGCAAGCTATATATTTGTTTGAGCAAATTAATGGTATGTGAAGAGTAATTATTCTAGTTTCCATAATCAAGAAGGTCGAAGAAGTGGACCATGTAGTGGAAGCAAAAAAAATGTTTTTGGAAACAAACCTTTATGATTTGGTTAAATTGTTATTCGGGGGAGAAGTTTGATGTCAGGGAGATGTGTTGGATGCCAGCTAAATATTTGGGCAACAATTGAATAAAACTGATTCGGAGGATTGGATGATTTAAAAAACTGATCTAATTGACAATAGTATGGTTATAAAATCTACATTGATGTTAGACAATGATCCAAACAAAGGAGAGGAGGTGCTTGCATGGGCACCAGTTGCTAATAAAGAGCTTATTAGATAACCGCATGATTATGATAGCTAACAAAGAACAATGTAGATATCCTCATGATTGTAAGGATTGCTAACAAAGAACGATGTAAATTGTTTCAATATGTAGAAGCATAAATTTGGAAACAAAGAGTCCGAAGTATAAGCATTATTTGCGGAAATTACGTAGATATCTTTACTACAATTTGCAACTCATATTTTTAGATCGCGATATTAAAATCCGCGACACTCCCGACCGAAGGAGCTAAATGCTTTAGTTCGTTGGACAGCTTTGGTTGATTGCTTCGCCTTATAGCGCTTCTAGTTCGTAGAGCAATTGGTTCTTGTTCATTGACATTTTGCACTGATTTGTTAAACATTGTTGGTTGAGGGTCAATTTCCTCACCTTTGACTTCCAGTGGGTATAACATATTCACCGGTCTGTTGAGTATTTTTCCTTTCGGTAATTCTATCGAGACACTTCTCACTTCTCCATCCTTTCCTGTTTTGATTTCTCTTATTCTGGCTAGTTTCCACATGCCACGGGGAATTTCTGGTTCATTTAGTAACACAATCTCTCCCTCGTGGGGAGTTCTTTTTACTACATCTCTCGGAGAAGAGTGTTCCCTTTGTGCTCTTTCTTTAAGAGTATTTAAATATTCCTCTTTCCATATTTCCCAGAAGGCATCGAGGGCCTTTAGTGTATTTGACCAGTATTGAATGAGTTTTTCTCTCGAATCCAATTTATGAGGGATAAAATCATCCATTTCATTCTTGTTTTTAGCAGGCATGATTAGATGCGCATTCGGTAGTATAAAGTCAATTGGACGCAATATGATACAATCATCAAAATTTACGTAAGTTAGTGGTCGAGTATTCAAAATACTTTCCACTTCCGTTACTAGCGTAATCAATTCCCGTTCCCATAATAACTTTCTGCCGATGGCTCTTTTCATTGCCCTTTTTGTTAACCCAATAAGTCGCTCATATACTCCTCCGTTCCAAGGCGCCTTTGGTATTATATTTTTCCAGATCATTTTCCTTTCCGCTAGGAATTCATTTAATTGTTGTTTCACAATGATTTTAAAAATTAACTGGAATTGACCAGCGTTGTCGCTTAAGATTAATTCTGGAAAGCCTCGTCTTGCTGTAAATCTTCTGAAAACATGTAAAAAGCTTTCGGCTGAAAGAGTTTCTACTACTTCTAGATGTACAGCTCTTGTTGTGAAACATGTGAATAGTGCTACCCATCTTTTTGTTAGCCCATTATCACTCCTGATATTCACAGGACCTAAATAGTCTAGTCCTACTCGCGCAAAGGGTCTTGATCTTGTGGTCCGAGATGCTGGAAGATCAGCCATAGTTGGTAATTTGAATGGTTTAGTTGTCCAGCGTCTGCACTTCATGCACTTATTCAAGATTCGTTTGATTTCCGTTCTACCTTTTGGGATCCATATCGTCGATCTCAGATTTGAGAGTGTATGAGCAATTCCAGCATGATACAGTTGTTCATGTCGTTGCTGAATAAAGAGTTCAGTTATGGTGTTGTGTCTCGGGAGATATATTGGGTGTAAGTTACTCTCTTTCATTTCAGAGTTAACTACGCGGCTTTTGTATCTCCATAGTTCGTTATCATAGAACAAATTCCATTTGATTATTTCATCTTTGGTAACTCCTTCTGACTGTGCTTGTTTGAATAGCACAATTTCTGACAACTCGTAATCCTGTGTTGTCAATATATTCTTTTCTTTCGTTGCCATCTTTAGCCAAGGAATTTCCCTTTTCATTGTTAATCTTATGAATTTCAGAACCCAACCAGTTGTTCTTATTAATCTTGACCATTTGCTAAAACGACTAGCATCTAAGATTCCGAAATGTTTGTTTATGATAATTGGTTCTGTGATGTGGGCCACAATTTCTTCATCCTGGTAATCCTCATTGTAATTGTATTTCCACTGTGGCCATTTTGATTCGTTTTCTGTTAACCACTTTGGTCCTTTCCACCAAAGATCATATCCTTTTAGTTTATTCGGAGAGATTCCTTTTGTAGCTATATCAGCTGGGTTTTGTTCACTTGGGATATATCTAAAATGGATTTTCGCCTTTCGTATTTCTTCTACCCTATTTTGTATGAACGTTGGTAGTAAACGGGAACTATTGTGAACCCAATGAAGCGCACATTGAGAATCGGACCATAAAATTGTTATCACGTCCTCAAGCTCTTTTTGTTTTAATACGAATTGTACCATTCTCACTCCGATGAGTATTGCCAGTAATTCTAATCGAGGTATTGACATTCCTTTAATTGGCGCAATTCGGGATTTAGCAAACACTAAGAATACTTCTCTTTCTTGAGTTCGAATGTATAAAGCTGCTGAGTATGCAGCAGTTGATGCGTCAGTAAAAACATGAAATTGTACTTGCTTGGAACAATTTGTTGTGAATCTTGGTAGATCCTTTAGTTTCTTTGGCCATTCGTTCGTGAGTAATTTCCACGTGGTTTCATCTTCCTCACTTATAGTTTGATCCCATGAAAGGTTCTTTTTCCACAAAGTTTGGAGAAACAATTTGAATCTTATCAGTATAGGAACTATGAATCCTAGTGGGTCATATTGTGAGGCTACGAATTGCAATATAATTCTTTTAGTTAATTTCTTACCAAACCATGGTTTTAACGTTACTTGAATGATATCTTGTTTGTGGTACCAATTGAGACCTAGAATTTTTTTTATTGAACTTACCTCTGCTCGATCTTGTACCGGAAGTTTTTCATTGACTTCTTGGTCGTTAGAGAGAAATTCCCGTACATTCATTGATGCTTCATTGAATATAATTTTAATTTCCTTATAATTGGAAAGAGCTTCGTTGGTTCCTTTGGTTGGTATTATAATGTTATCGACATAGAGATTTTTCCTTAACTCGAGTGCGATTTTGCTTTTACAAGTTTCCAAATGATAATTGAGTGTAGCGGACAATAAAAATGGAGATGATACAATTCCAAATGGAACTCGTTGGAAACGGTAACAACTTACGTTTTCTTCGTTAACTGGACTTCGAATGTCTTTCAACCAAAGAAATCGAGTGCAGTTTCTATCTGTTGGATGCAATTCTATTTGCAAGAACGCCTTTTCTACGTCTGCTATTATTACATTTTTCATTGTACGGAAACGTAGCAAAACTCCAACCAAATCAGGGAGTGTTATTGGTCCCCGATATAAAACATCATTTAAACTTTTCATTCCTTTACAATGAGCTGATGCATCATAAACTATCCTCAGATTTGTCGTGGTTTTATTTGGTGTTATTACTTCGTGATGAGGCAGATAATGAATAATACCAACTTCATTCATTTCCGATGACACTTTCTCAATTATATTGGAATTGAGTTGTTCTTCAATAGTTTGATTGTATCGACTTAGTAATTGAGGTTTCATTTGAAGCCTCCTAATTAACGACTTTAATCTTCCAAGGCAAAGTCCGAAATTATCGCTTAGTTTGTTCTTTGAATCTTTCCAAGGCCAACAAACTTGATATCTTCCCTTGTCCCTAGTGATAGTTTGTTTAAATTGCTGCAATGCTTTTTCATCATTGTCAGAGTTTATTTTGTCTTGTATACCCATTAATTCCAGTTTCCAAAAGTGATCTAAGTCTGGAATATTGACGGCATTGACTTGAGAAATCGGACTTACTGATGTGGTTTCTGAAATACTGTCGTGTATTTCATTTATATACCCACTTCCAGCTATTATAGGTCCAACCTTTGTATGGATCAATGAAAATCCTGATTTTAAGTTCTCTGCTTGGTCAAACTGGATAAACTTGAAGAAGTGATCCGCACCTATGAGTATGTCCGGTTGTTTCCATTTGTTTTTGAAATTACTAAACTGATTTCGTTTGTCTATCATCAACAATTCCTTTTTGTTTAGATTAACTACTTGCAATTCATTCGTCAAGTGGTTAACTGTTATTACATCTAATCGGATTATTTCTTTATTTCCAATTTTTACTCCGATTTCAGTTTTAGTAGTGATACACGTTTTTGGCGTCTTATCACCAAATGAAGCAATTTTTATTTCCATCTCGTTAGTTTCTTGTAGATTCAATCGATAAGCCAAATCCTTTGATATGAACGATAATTGAGAACCAATATCGAATAGAATTAAAGCCTTTTGTTGGATT